CAGTGCACTGAAGCTGATTTCTTTTCAATTCTAGCAGTGGTCTGTTCGACTTGGACCCCAGTGAACATAGCGACCTCAAAGCGTTCAGTGGCCTTTGCAGAAGGTAACACAGCATTGAGCTGTGTGGCTGAAGCCAATTGTATGTGTTCAAGGTTTCTTGGTTAGCGCTTGGTATGCGGGCTTGTTCGCATGCTGTATGGAATCTACACTGCCCAGTTTCATGTGTGGTCACCATCAGCAATATAGGTTTCTTAAGTCTTTGGGTATAACTAAGATCGGTACTCCTGTGCCTTCTCATCGTGGCTCGTGGGGGAAGCTTTATGCTGGAGCAACCCGGTGGGAGTTACATGGAGTACTATGACAAAATGCAATGGCTGTTTCGCCAGCTGCCAGCATCCTGGTGTCAAACTGTTTTGAGTTGATCGTACGATCATACCTCATTGCATGTTGATGCAGCGTTTCTTCCACAAGCATTGGGTGCATACATGTGCATACTTTAATAACGTTTCAGTTTTGTACAGTTACAATTTATGATCATCGATGACTAAGGTCTTCAAAGTTGCATGGTGGATGGGGCACTACGGCCACTCTACGCCAAAACGCCACAAAGCTTTCACCAACAACAAGTGGCCAGCTAGGTTCAGCTTGGGGAAAATGCATCTCAAGAGGTTTCGTGAATCCCAGGACCCTGAGGACAAACCCACAGTTCGTTATGTTGACAAGAAGGGCCAGAGCCGGTTCCATGGGAACTCAAAGTTGAAGCTTAGCCAGTCACTTGGTGCATAAAAGAACAGAATTGGTGAATGGGAAAGGGTTTCACACATCGAACCACTAATTGGTAAATGTTTATAGTTATCATTGCATTTGATCATTCACTGTCAATGAGCGCAACCATTTGACGATACTGAGAGTGAATGAAATGCAGCGATAAAGTGTAGCCAAAACATGGTTTGGTGGTTCATTGCTTAAAAACTCTTCACCTATATGTGCATGTTATTGTCAAGACTCAGCTGTGGTAAAACCAATCACTTGGCTACTCATGAGCTATAGTGACCCGAGGTGATCGTAGGTCATCCAAACACTACACCTCGTTCTTTGAAGTATAAATCCACTTTTGCACATGTGGTTTTCCATTACTACCTTCCCAGAACCGAGTCCCACAACATCCCACAACTGTAGGAAAATCAAGTTCGAAGAATTTGTTGGCAGAATGACTGGTTGCTAGAGTATAGTCTCTTGGAAATCCCACAGTATGAGCTGCTAAATTTCCAAATGCCTCCTGCCATTGTCCTTTGTTCAAGATCGCAATTGTTGGTTAATACAATTTCCGGTTTTCATCTACCTTTCAAGGAGGCCATTTGGAAATTTAGAAGTATGAATCACTAGGACATGTTGTTTTTTCTCGTATATATGTTGTGCACTTGTGCACTGGTTTGACTTGGATAATGTTAACCAACAGATATCAACATAGTTCATGAGTGTTGGATCCTTGATTGCCACTACCTATCACATTCCATCATGCCTGCACCCCTACCAAACCGCCAGCTCACCCATTGTGCAGCCAAGGGTGTACCCTATGCGCTTTGGCTGGAAAGCCGTTGAACTCATGCCGAAGCTCAAGAGCAAAGGCCAGGGCCAACCGAAGCTTCCTGAGGTGGTGCCAGATGGCCCCCAAACTTTCAACATGATGTCTTGGAACAGTGATGTAGATTGGAGTGATGCCCGACTGAAACCAGTCATAGTTTATTTGAAGGGCAACCGGTCCCTCAACCTTCCAGATGCCTGGAAGGCTGTTTTCCCATCACGCATTTGATTTTCGGGGACCCCAATGATGGTTCTAATTATTTACTTTGGACGGTTTTCGGGCAGGGTGACCATCTGAGACCCCAAAAGAAATCCCAAAAGAAATTGCCATAGGACTCAAACCATGTTTTCTGTGGCCAAAGCAGCCCAAACACATCCAGGGATAGCTAAAATGTGTTTTTTTGTTATTTTGATTATCACAGCCGTTCTGAGGCGTACTAACCCGTACGAACCCGTACGAACCCGTTTTCTAGCCTTGGAAAGGCAACAATTTGGCAACATTTGAGCCGTTCAAAGCCGTACCCGTACCCCCCAAAACCCGTACCCGTTCAAATGGCGTTCAAAAGGCGTTCAAAAGCCGTTCGCTAGCCGTTCAGAAATGCAACAAATTGTTGCCTTTTGGGCCAACCATCAAGGACCTATTTTGAAGAGGATTTGGATGACATTCGAGAGTCAATGCTGGGATTTTAAGAGTACCAGTCAGGATTTTCTGGCGCTTTGAGTGCTCAAAGGTGGGTTTACAAACAGCTGGAAACACATAACCATGGATCCAAGTTGTGTTTGTCATGATTGATTGGTAAAATCTTTGTTTTTGCAGGACCAGTGATTGATTATACTGTAAAATATATACCCCAAACATGTTTTGCATTATGGTTTCGTGCTCCTGCTGTTTGGACGCCCCAGCGAAATTCAGCAACAAACGCAACAAGGTTGCAACCCCTGATGCATTCAATTGGAAAAATCGAAAAAATCCTTCAATGTCATCTATCGTTCATTTTGTTGCGCTGAAACCATTGAATCCCTGAACCGCTGAAGGATGACAGTCTTCATGATTGTTGCACCCGCACCCAACTTCAAGTGCAAATCCATTGCGCTATGTGCGCATACTTATCTTGATTCATAGAATGGTTGATTATGTTTGGAACCTTTGAGCATGGACTCACTTGCAAATGGTAATCACCCCACAAGCCTTTTGGGTTTCGAGCTGCCAAGCTAGGGTTCTCAGTGCAGACTGGGATTCGGCATCCATCAGTGTCTCGGTCATGGCCACCTCATTGCGGAGCAACCAGTGGAGCTGCAGCGAGCTCACACGTGGTGCCACAATTGCGGCTGACATGGCGGGTATGGAACTGCGGATGAACCCCAACAATCTCTCAAGGGATGAACTTCTCGAGTCAATCAAGGACTTTCATTCCATATCAAATGTCATAGTTTGCACAGGTACATCCTAATCAATGTGCAGCCATGAATTATGTTGGATTACTGATTACCCATTTAGCTCATACAGATTCAATTTCCATTCAGTTCATACCCTGAAGGAGGCCAAAGCTTTGCTGAACAACCAACAGGTGGGACTGGACAACTCTTAGCAAAACAACCGCCAAACGGTTGATGTTCCAAGAATGAGGTTTAAATTGAAACAGCTGCTTTTCAGTTTCCATGTATGGTTTTGGGAATACCATGGGATAATATGGGTTCCAAGTACCAGCCAGTGTGTCTCACTATGTCAGGTTGGGGCCCCACAATTTCTGAAACCAAAGGAGGAGATTCCGGAAACAATCCCTGCAGTGGCTTGGTAAAAATGGAACATATATTCTCCAAAAATGCCAACAAGTAAGCTGGTGATTGAAATCGCAAGTTCAATTTCATGGCTTGATATTATCCACTGTGGATACAATGTTCACCGATTTTATTTCATCACCTGAAATTGCCATAGGATACTGATTTCCTCGATACAATCTCACCACCTGACATTATCACAGGATATCCTATATAAGTTTTTTTTTTGAGGTACAACTTCATATCCTATTGAACATGGTTCAATGATGTTCTATGGGTTATATATCGAGGTGCAAGAATTCACTTCCCCAACCTGGAGCTCACATTGCCTGCCCAGGCCCAACATGAAATCGATGCCATGTTGGCTGAGCCGGTGGACAAGTTGAACAGCAGCGTCGCCAGTGATGATGCTGTCCCTGATGTACCTTGGTTGCATGAGTGTGAGACTCTGGCCCCAAACTATCAAGATATGTGGGGTACCATGCGATGTGACAGCTGCAAAAATTAAGCTTTCATATTCATCATATATAGTTATGACTATGCAGGTCTATGACCCTTACATGTATGCAGGTATGCGTATCTTTTCCATTTAGTATTGTACGGTTCGATATCATGATATCTAAAAATCATGTTGCCTATTGCTCGAGCTCATGAGGCTCCTCCAATTCCAGAAGCAAAGGGTGACATGGTTATGACAAATGTGAATCAGGACTCGGTGGGCACCACGGGTCATGCTGACACTGAGACACATTCACTGAAACGTCCAGAGCGCCCTGTGACTGAGAAGGTGTCACCTGAGAAAAAAATGCTGAGGGTTGAACCAACACCCGTACCCATGCAGCCATGTGGGGATGATACCAGCATTGCACCTCGTGCCTTGAGCTTTGAGGGTGAAGTGGTTAATGGGTCTGGTGCATCCTCCCAAGCACCGCCGCCACCTCCAGGCCTAGAACCCTCCCCTGCCATTGACCAACCAACTTTGGCCGCTTTGCTACGAAAAATTGCCGAGTTGGAGTCTAAGGTCGCCCAACCACCCCAACCGGTGCCATCCCAAGAGGGTGTGAAAACGCCTGTCAAACCTAGGGTTCTGGAATCACCATCCACTGAGACAAGCACTTCTGCTTCAAGCAAGCCGGATGTGAAACCAAAAAAGGTTGAGGCAGAACCCAATGATGACGCAGAACCCAATGATGGTGATGGTGCTGACTGTGGTGAACTTTTGGTGATGCCATCTGGGTCAGCTGTCACTTAGCTATGGATTTCGGGTTTGCAAATAAATCATAGTGAGACAACTCACTTCAGTTCAGCTTATTGACATGACCTGTTTGCAACGACCACCGTGTTGATCTTACCCTCAAATATAATCATATATAGTTCATTTGGACACTGAACCAATGATGTTCACGAACATGGTCTTGAGATATTGATTGTTCTTACCAATTGGGGTTGGCTTGGAAAAACAAAATCCTACATGCATAACAGGACCACAGCCAATCATGGCACCATCCTAACGTTTTGAAATATGAAGAACCTCTACACTTATATAGTGGAACCATTTCATACACCTTGAACAATTTTTCCTCTCCTAACTTCTTGTTCACCCAACAGCCCAGGTGATGACCCATGACGCATTGAGAATGCGTTTACGTCGGATGTGTGAGATCAAAGCTCGCTCCAAAAAATGCCACGTCGATGATGAGACCCACAAGCAGTACATGAAAGGAGGAGAGGGTAGGGAGTGGTTGGAGATAGCTTTGGCTGAAGCTATCGAACGCTTGGGTACGGAGCGGAACCAGCACAAAAAACTCAGGGCCCCTTGTCACCAAGATACTTCCACCATTGGTCCATGTGATCCAGCTTCGCACTTGTTGATGTCACCCATCATGTTTTCATCAATCCTTGGAGCTTCGAGGCTGAATTTGCAGCACGCGTTCTGGTGGTCCGGGAAAGGATGGAAATGAAGGAGAAGGAAACCACAGGCATGTGGCTGACGGAAGACAAGATGAAAAAGTCAGGAGATTACTCACCGATACATGATTGCACATATCAACCAACATTACAATATGTTTCAGGAACAACCAAAGTTTGTACACACACCATGTTTTGAGTTCCCATGAATTCCCCATCCACTGAGGGAATCCATCCGGTCAATCATTGCGTATTGCTCCAAGTTTCCACAAGCGTTGGTTCGGTGGCTGTGGCATGTTTAATTCCTCTGCTCATGCAGACACTTTTGATTGAGAAACATGTACACATGAAGCATGTTGAAAGCTGGTTGTTGTGATGGCAGACAATGGAAATACAACCCCAACATTCGGGAATATTTCGTGGAGACGGAGACCAAGCAAACGATCAAACAATCAGAACTGCGAAAGCAGCAAGAGATTTCCGATTGTGGAGACCCTTAGTTGCAAGCAACAACATACTATGTGTTGAGTGCATAAATGATGGTGGTGTGCTACTATCACCCATTTATTGAAACAGCATGTTTGGTCCAGCTTGCCTAGGTGACAACCTTGGAGGAACCCCTTCCAACCCCGGGTCAGTTGGAGCTTGCAGATGAAACTGGCATGACACCGGAAGCTGAGAAAATGGGTGAGAAGGTGGGGTTATTTTCCTGATTGGATATCGGAACTTAGCTGATGTAATTTCAATCAAGGTACGTGTGTGCATGATGGTTACTTCCAGTTTCACAATCATACCTTAAGCCCTTGGATAGTAGCTTCACATCTGAAAAGTCATTGCATGTAGCATCATCTTACCTTCAGCAGTTGGATAGCAGTGGAAATAAAAAACCTTCATCATGTAGGTACTGCCAGATTTGCAGAAGTTCATGGACAGTATCCATGGCCGCATCATGCAATGCCGCAAGCTTTGTACCGCAGTGGAGACTGAAGCGGGTGATTCAATGGCTGGGACAGAGTTTCTTCGATCCAACCATTTTACTGGCTTCATCAATCGCACATACCCCAACTAATGGAAATGCTGGAGATAGTACTTGGATTTATTTTGGTTTTTTAGGCTTATAGCCAATGCATTACCAATTGTGAAGCTGTGGAATTTTCTGAATGGCTTGGCCTAGAGTTCAAACTGCGTCCTTACTAGCCTCTGAGGTTGATCAAGGACTTCAACCACATCACCTCCCAGTTGAATAAGAGCTTCAAGGAACTCGCCGAGCTCAAAGCGGAACTTGTCCTGAATGAAGAAGCGGAGGTCGAGACATCCGATGAGTTGCTTAGATGCCAGGATCACTTCTTACATAGCAACATGTTGATTCTTCAATGAAAGTACTTTGAATAATCTTTGGCATTTGTCAGTGGGTGTTTGATTTGGCTCGAGCAAACAGGGCACCGACTCCATTACATTTTTTGGGTTTCCATGTTGATCAACGTCCTTACATAGGAGACGTTCATAGTTGATATAACTGCAATGACGATGTGGAACTATGAGGTATGATTGCAGTTTATCCTTCATCAGTTTATTGACAACCGAAACACATACCATCGGAATCAAAATACATCTAGGGTGTACTATCTTAGCTCAGCCCAGTGATGCCTACCGGAAATCATGAAGATGATTCTGAATCCTGGCTTCTGGAGCTGATCACCTACAATCGGGAGGTTCACTGGTTGCAAATCTTCAATGCCAAATGTCATATGTTTTTTTGGATGGTTTGGTTGTTTTCGCACTTGTGCGGTCGAAGAGGCTATCTATAAACAGACCCTTTCAAGCATTTCCCCACCGCTGTGCCACAGGCGTCCTCTCAGTCATCATGCTCTTCTCCACCTTCGTCGCCAGCTTCGTCGAGAGAATCAGTGCCTCAGGTCAGGGTTAAAGGGGTTCTTGTTTGAAGTGGTCACCCCAATGGTTCGAGTATGTTCGAGTATAGTTTTTTGTTTTTGTCAATTGATTCTGGTATACTCATTGATGACCAATCTTAAAGAATAAACGATAATATAAGATATGTGGTTTCTGTGAATCCTTTGGTTTCTTTCCCTGATAGGAATTGAAGAAACACCTTGATGAGACCATTTGGGGGTTAGATCGAGCTCCAGCATGCTTTCTGGGATTGCTTGCTGACCCGCAGTTGGACTGCAAGCTTCCTATGGTGGGATCTTCAACCGGTGCTGTAGTGCGACATGCACTTGAAACGTTTGAGAAGGTATTGAATAGACACAAGCCGATGGTGTTCAAATTTGGATTCACGCACGACCCTCAGAACCGTTTCACAAATTCCAAGTTTGGATATGCCAGTGACCCTCACCAAAAATGGGAAGTTATGGTGGTGATGTTTGCCTCCCACGAACCAGTTGGTCCAGCTTTTCTGGAAGCATTGCTGATCGAGAAATTCAAATGTACCTCAGATCAAGACTGACTAGCATTGTTTGTATTTCGATTTGAAAGTATCGTTTTACTTTGGCATGTAGTCAACAACATGATGCCAAAACCCAAGCTGCATTTCTCTAAGGTACACCGGGGTGCCGCAATTCACGGTCTGGTGGCGACACTGTCATTGACCGTGGGGGACCATTTTTCACATATGTTGTTTACCAATCCTTTAAGTTTCCACCTGGTGAAACTAGGTTTGTTCGGTCACGGGCTGAACCATATCAAGTGTGATTCAACACTTTGGTATTGCTTCCATCTGGTGCATCGATCGCATGCCCCAAATTCAGAAAGAAAAGTTTGCAGCCAATTTCAACATGGTTTCAATGTGCTGAGTTTCCTTTTTTCATATCCATATCCATCATTACCCATCTGTGCATGGTCATCTCGGCCCAGGTTGAAGAATCGGATTGCAAAGGCCAAGTATGCAGCGAAGAAACCGTGCCACCCATGCAAAATGAGTGTTGCAATTCTTATCATAAGGTTTGGCATCCAACATGGTTCCATTGGTTGCTCCCCAGATTTTGGATTGTTTTGAATGATAAACCAATGACTTGGATGTTGTGATTCCCACGTTAAGGTGCGGTGCACTCATCGCGATCGAACCACGCCAGAAGTTTCTTGGCTTAACATTGTGTCTAAAAATGTTTCATGGATCAACATGGCAAACAAATATTCACTTGTCCTTTCACTCGCATAGTTTTGACATTTGGTTTTACCTTTTAGCATCACTATCAACCGTTCAATTTATCAATACCCGTAATAGCTCACTGCCACTTTGCCGCCTAGGCTCCTGCTCGCCGACGTCAAGAAGAGCAACAAGCCAGAGAGGACATCTCCTGATGGCAGTGAGCCGAAGCCGAAAGCTTCTGGAAAGGCGAAGGCAAAGGTGAAGGCAAAAGCCAAACCCGAAGCCACTTCAGTGAAAGGAGACTAAAGCATAGTTCAGGGATAATAGGGATAGGAGTTCTGGGATGAAACGGTTACATAGCTTCTGGGTTTGATGTGCCACCAAAACAAATGCATAAATTGCAAAATATTATCCCTTTTGATGTGATATCGTAACTTTTACTTTATGGGTTGTTCAACCGCTCCCTGAAAGCTGAAGTCCCAAACTTTTGAAGGGTACCTGACTCAGAGCCCACATCCCTGGCATCACCTCATGGAAACGATTGGTCCTACCATGTCCTACCCATTCCTACCCAACTATTGCATCCATCCATCAAAGATGTGGCCACGTGTGTTTCATGTTTGTTTGATTTTGAAAAGCCAGTGGGAGCTGAATCCATCAGGTAGATGCTGAAAACCTTACATTGTCATGTAGGGCGCATCCAATCCATGATGTTTCCGTCACACAAATGTTGTGGTGAGTCAGTCCTAGACATCTGATTGACTGCCGCTGTGGGTGATGTGAGATGGAAGACAAAAAGTCTGTAAGCCATACATGATCTTACAACTGGTTCACACCATGTGGGGGGTTCGCTGAGCCAGGTCCATCTGATGCCGCCGTGGATCTCGCTTGGAACTACTCCAGAGGCGTCGCTCGGCCAGTGATACGCCGCAGGCATTGCTCAGGAATTGGATCAGTGATTGGATTGATTATATATGGTACACCTATCATGCTCACATCATCATGGGGCTTCTGAGCCTTTGATAATTTATGTTGGTCTGACAGCCATGCTCCAAAACCGGAGTCACCTATCAACTGAGTTGTCATGGTTTCGATTTTTTTTGAGGGTCACTCCAACATAATCCTGTTACACTTTGAGGCTGCTGCTTTGGATGTCATCCACAATGCTAACTCGATCATCGACTATGACCAGCGTGACACAGGCATCAACTCCTGTCCCACTTCACGAATTTGCCCTGTGTTGAGGGCATTGTACCGTGGAGATGAAAAACATTCCGTTACCTGGTATTGATTTGAAAGACTGCTTCACATATACACGTATTGTTTTTTCTGGTTGGATGATTGGGGGTTGGATGTGTTTTGAGAACTGGATAGATATGAGCCTATCATTTATTGTATACATCAAATTATGGCCAGTGCCCTGTTTGTAAAAATTAAATCAGCTTGGTGCCATCCTGAGATACCCTAAGGAAGAACTGGTCGCCCGTACACTTGCTCAACATGGCCTACGCTTAGATGTTGACATCAGCTCTGGGAAGGTTGGGAATGACAGGAAGTACCCATACATCAAAGTAGCTTCTTGGGTAAAAACTTTAGATGCCCATGGACAACTTGAGAAACTACTTGGAATGGGCCCACAATTCAACACCTTGGACAAATGTGGGCCCACGCTGTTGGAATTTTGGGCCAAATTCAGAACACTGAATGGTGGACATCAAGTGTTCACTCTGGTGGATCAAGGGGCTATCCAATTGGATAAGGCATTACCAGTTGTCATTCATGGAGATGAAGGCACCACATACAAGAAAGATGGGTGTTTGGTGTTTTCGTTCCACAGCGTAGTTGGTTGCGGAACTATCTCAAACAAATTGGGTCCAGTTGCCAACGACGATCGGGTTGATCCACACACCAACTTCGTGGGCAATGCTTTTCAAACTCGATTTCTTTTGGGATCACTCTTGAGAGACTCTTGGACTATTTAGATTTGTTTTTATGGATCACCTGATAAGTGTTCACATGATGGTAGTCCAAAAAATCTCAAATACATGTGCTAAAGTAGACCCCTCCGGTTCCATAGCCGGCCCAGGAGGATTACAGAGATGACTATGGCCCCTACTTTGACTTGATGAAGCTGGTGCTGCAATCACTAGATGAAGCTTCGCGAAGTGGTGTTCAACTAAGATGTGGTACAACACTGCATTTGATCCCAGTTGGAAATGTTGGCGATTGGCCATATTTAGTTACTCTGGTGCAAAGGCAGCCATATTGATTTTCAAATTTGATATGTTTTCATAGCGTTTTGGTTTGGGGAAATATACACATGATAATGTCCTTAAAAGTCTTGCAGCACCATCACCCCAAGGCTACCAGTGCCCAGCTAAATCGAAGCTTCAGAAACGTTCCCCGGAGGGCCACCAGCCAAACTGATTGCAGTGGAATCTGTCATCTCTGTCTTGCTGGTCGCCCTGGTTATGACTACGAGGATTTGCATCTTAATACGATTCAAGAATTACCATTTACTTTTAGTTGTCACTACTTCAACTGTAGTTGAATATAGAATATATTGGTGACAACCACTGTTATCATTTCTTTGGGGGATCAATGGTATTCCTGCCACATCATATCATTGTTTGATTATGATTTGTTTTTGGATATATGCTTTTCTGCCATCCAACTACTGTCATTTTGCTTTGCAGCCAATTTTACTCAGGTCATCCGCTGTTCCTTCATTCTTGGCAACCATGGGAGTGGAGGCCCCTTGGGAGGAGGAGCCCTGGTTTACCCGCATGCTCATGCACAACCCCAACCAGAAGGAAGATTTCCACAAGATTGACCTGTTTCACACGATATCTTTGGGCGTTGGGAAATCCTTTGCCGCATCTGCAGTTACGATTCTCCAAGAGATTCTGGAAGGGACCTCCATTGAACAAAGGGTGAAGGAAATTTCCAGCATGTATATCGAATACTGCAAAGAGTTTTGGCAGCAATGGTTTTTGGACAATGCAGTTGTTCCATTGTTTCCTTCGAAGTTTGTAAGTTTTCAGGTTTCTTTCTATATACCCATGCATGTATTTGGGGATGTTGCCTTGACCGCTTCCCAAGGAAAACCGAAAAACACCCTACATCCAGAAGATTGACAGGGCCCTGCTTGGATGGGTTGGCTCTCAAGAGCCCACGGGGGGCTGGTCAAAGGCTGCCTTCACCACCACTTTGTGCCAATTTTTGGAATACTTCTGCCGGGTCTACCAATTAGAGACGGATGATGACGAAGAATACAGGTTGGTAGTATCTCTGACTGAGAGTTGGTTTTATGTTTTGATAGTATGAAATTGTGGTTTCCATCGTTTTTATGTTTCCTTACCATTCCTTTTCATTCCTGATAATTCGATCCTCATAATTTTTGGGGTTGGTTCCATTTTGTTTTGACAACTTCCTATGGATTTCCCATAATAAATTTACAGGATCATCCAACCACTGGTGAGGCAAGTTGCACCCGGGCTTTGAACTACTTCATGTCGTCCCTGTACAAATCCAACGTTTACATTGGAAAGGAGGAGGCTGATCCCATTATCAATGCTGGGTTCCATTTCTTGAAAGGGTTTGCACGTTTGGCGTATCTTTGCCATCAAAAAAAATGGCAAGATTTCCTTTGGCACCGAAATGCCATATGTTGTTCCATGTTGTGCACAAAATGAAGGTGCAAATTCAATTGGTGGGGTTTTTGGAAAATCCAATTATGTTTTCCACAGCTTCTGATGAAGACTTCATTGGTCGCTATTGCTACCTTACGAGGTGTGTATCACCTCGTCAAAGGATCCTACGCTCAATACAGCGTTACCTGACGCAGGTGTATTTGTTTTGGGTTCGCAAGCGCTGATGGTGCTGTCAAGGGGGGAGGTGAAAGTGATGCGCTACGCATTGGTTGGGAAGAGTGTGGCAGGAAGGGCTTTACAGTAATGGATTAATTTGATTGATATGAGTTGTTTGTGGTTTTAACTTGGTTGAGATAAGTTGTTTTTGCAGTGGGTTGTCATAAGTTGGTTGGATGGCAGTAAAAACATGACAAAAACACAATGACGTAGAAATAGCCGTTCTTACACGTAAATAGGCGTTCGAACCGCACAAATGCCAACATTGGTACCCAATTCCTTAGGAATCCTGTTTTGACATAAGAATTTGTATGTACCCAGAGTTGCAGGTATATATATAAACACGTGCCATGGGCAGGAGTTGGATTTTATACCCATATTGGAGGATGGCTACGAATCGCCTCCCTTGCGGTTTTGATAAACTGCAAAGCTCCTTCATCGCATGGTCAAGGCACTTAGCTTCAACTACCCCACGAGCAAGTGACCAAAACCGTTCGAGCTCTCTCAACGGAAGAAGTCTCCATTGTGTTTTCGACAGACTTTCTGCCGAACGCAGGCAACGAACATCTGCAAGAGTCTGCGCGACCAAAGTAGCTAACTAAATCCCATCAAATCCCATCAAATCATCATCAAATCCCATCAAATCATCATCAAATCCCATCAAATCACCATGAAATCCCATCAAATCACCCGTAACGTCACTATGAAATCCACCCCATCCCCAGGACTCGGAAGGGTCTCCAGCTCCCCGAGGGATGGCGCGAGATCACCTCGCCCTCCAAGGGCGTAACATGGCGAGGGAAATGCCAAGGCAATGCGTAACACGCCACTGAAAAAATCAGGGATTTATGAGATGTAATTTGATATAAACCATGAAAAATAGTCATTTAACATGGATTTAACATTGATTTGACAATTTGACCATCATTGAAAACCTGGGGAGTTCCTGCACATTTCCTTGAACTATTCAAGACGACTTTAGCATCATATATAAGTATAATATAATAATATCTACAACATAAAAGCTTGATGATTTGTACATGTGGCGTTGAAACCTCCAGTTCTGGATATAGACACAGCCACGCAGCCCGCAAAAATCCCGGTTGCCCAGATTGCTGCACTGAGACTGCACTGAGAATGCACTCTAAAGATCCAATTTCATTAAGATAGGCGTTAATGAACAGGTCCTACCCTTCAGTAAACTGATACAACTACAGGTATGACAAACTATGAAAAACACATCATTCAAATCTCCATTTGAAGAACGGTATATCATGACATCATGGAACTCTGAAAGGGCCATACATTCCATAGCGTTTTGTTAAATTATCAGAGGGTAATGGTCACCATCTCCATGTCATCCATGACGTTGGAAACCTCCATAAACCTTGCAACCTGTTCATTGAGTTTTTGGTCGCAACCCAAACCCAACGACCCAAAGTACAACATAGTGATAAATGTAAACAACATTCACTATTACTAGATGTAAAAGCTTTATAGAACTATCTAAATGTAAATTCAGTATAAAACACTCAAATCTACTTGTGTTCTATATCTTTTTGGAAGTTTTCCACAGACCCTCTCAGGTCTACTACGCGCATGACTCCGGAGCAACCCAGTTTGACTTTCCCAAAGGGCCACCAGCTGCAGCAGAGGCGTGCGCCCATGAACAAAAGGGGGATTCCACCGATTTAAGCCACAAAACTTGGCAAACATGTGAAATTCCAATTGATAAATTATATCATATTATAAATTTAATATTTATGATGGGATGATATTTGTATTTATATATTGAAATCCCATAAATGATGATATTAAATCGGAATACACTGGGATACGGATATATATATATATAATATATCACCCATCTTGAATAGGGATGAGTAGTCTGGCCAAGTCGTCGCGCCTCTTGGAAAGCCGTCACTTCAGCCAAGACCCGATATTGGGATTCAAAAGGTGAGATTAAATCGAGATTTTTGAACTGAGAGCTAGGGTTTTGATAGGTTTTGTGAGTGCTGAGTGATGGAACATTTTGCCTTATCCATATATATACAGCATATATATTTATATATGTATAGATGTACACATATGTCTACGTGTATTTTATATAAACATGTATATATATATACATTTATATATATATATATATGTGTGTGTGACAATATATATATATATATAACTAAGAGACTCCACACAAGTATTAAAATACTGGAATAACTTGGCATTGTTTGCTATATTTCATGGACCGGCTGTGAACCTTTGAGAAGCCTGAGAAGACTGAGCTTGCGGACGATGATCCTCGAAGTAGCTAAAGTAAAGGCTATATCCCCATGAATGTGGTTAAAACAATGCCATAAATGCACCATCCCCAGAAAAATCACCATTTTTATGGGTGGTATGGTTCCCATTCCCAAATAGATCCAAATAGGTGGTTTATGGAATTGTTTTAACCACATTAATATACATTATTTATACCATTTCTATTGGTTCAATTTCCATTCGCCCCCACCATGAACCCCCTGAGACTCGATGAGTTTACAGGTGAGACGAGCTCAAAATGAACGTGCAGAACGCTATGGTCACAGGACGAATCATGGCGCCTGGTCTGCGGCCATTGAAATCCCATGGAATCCCCACATAGATAGGAACGCTTTGAACAGTACGAAAAAAGAATCTAGTGCAGTGGAATTATACTGTTCATGTTATTTTCGGGTTGCTTTAGATGTTTGCCGCAATGACAAAGTCCAACAACCTGATGGTCATTGCTATTGGTCGACACTGCATGTTTTCCTTGCGGATTTTTGCGTTGAATCCCTTTTTTTTCTTGGAGATCCTTTATGTTCATTGTTTTTGGCACGGATTAGATCGCGACACACTTGGATAATATCCCACTGATATTCCACTAAAAAGTCATTTTGTTTTGCAGGTCATCAACACACAAATAATATATGATAATCCCATTTCCTTCAAGTTAGATCACCATGAAAATCATGTGTTCAACATGTTTACCCGTAAAACCAGCAGTTTTTGCAGCTTAAATCACCACCACTTGTGGCAATTTGCCCAACATGTGTCCATTTTTTATAAACATAGTTTCCCACATGAGTTCCAGATTTTTTTCTCAGAGGTTTCCCATCTTGCAATGGATTGGTTTTTCCGGGAACATCTAGAGGAAACCATAGAGTTTCCCATGAGTGTCCCTTGAACCACTCCATTGAAACTGGAGGGAATTTCCATGAACAATTTCAATGGAAATCCATTTTTTCTGGGTATTTCCAGATTTTTTCGAGCTTGGAAAACCAGGTGTTTTCCTACATTTTCCGACATTTCTCCCCAGTTTTGCCCCATTCTTCCGGCTCCTTGGTGCTCGAAGGACACAGCAGCTGTGCCCCGGGGCCACGGTGCGCTTGATCGGCCTGGAGCGGTTTCCACAGCTCGAGGCCGTGTTGTTTAACCATGGCTGGTTGGTGGTGAATATCTGAATATCATTGAATATCTATAGTTAGTATATGTTAATATCTGGTTGGTAACTGGAATGGGATGGTCAATATGAATGTTAATACCTACTGGTTGGTGGTTTGGAACATGGCTTTTATGACTTTCCATTTCATATATGGGATGGAATAATCCTTCCCATTGACGAACTCTATCATTTTTCAGATGGGTTTAACCATGGATATAAGTTGTTTAAGCTTGGGATGCAAGCTAATAAGTGGATATAAGTTTAACCATGAAGACTACAAGTTTAACCTTGGGATATAAGCTGGGATATAACCGTGGATTAAAATTAGTGGCAAAACCATTCATAGTCTATGAGTTTAACCAACATGAACCACTTGAAATCGGAATTTCAGCTAAGTTGGGATGTAAATTGTGATATCGCTGAAAAACTGTAGTGTTATATACGGTTTTACAATGTATACGGCCTCATTAGGGCGAGAGGCGTGATTATATATTAATATGGTAATAGAACCGAATATGTTGGGATAAAAACTATGTTCATTGATTATAGCTATGGTTATAACTGACTATGATTATAAGTATGGTTGTATAACCCAATAGGTTCTAACCCAATTGGTGTTAACTAGCTATGATTATAACTATGGTTATTACAGATTATAGGTGTGTGTGTGTATATAGTAACCCTCAGTATTAGAAGTCCAACTGATTGATGATTGTAGATTAAAACTATGGTTGTTATGACCCAATAAGTTTGGATTGAGGGAAAAACACTTTGGTAATTGTTACCATGGTTAGTAGTGACTATAAAATAAATATTGATCTAACCATGGCAGTAATGGAGGATTAATGGTAAAACAATCAAAAGTGGTGATTATTCACCAACTAAAATGGATTTCACCTCCAAAAGTTGGGATGTAAGTTGGGATATAACCCTGTCAAGAACTCTGGTATTGCAATCAAGATCCAAGAAAGGATGGAATGTTTTTCCTTTGAAATCCAAAGAAACAATAGGCAAAAGAGGTGCAGGTGGACCTGAATCAAAGGCCGAAGTGGAACCGATTCTGCGAGACAAACTGAAAAGAGGATGTCTTTTAGCTGCCGACAGCAGCCCAGCATTTCAGAGTGCCGCCAAAACTTTGAAGATACCGAGCCTCAAAGGTGTGTCCCACCTTAAGAAAGTCTTCACTCCTGTTTCGGTGCTACCGAAGAAGAATCTAGGTGCATTTGCTCACCGCACTTTGCACAAGGCGACTTTGGGCTCCAAACCTACGACCAAAGAGAACACGAAGGACTTCAAAGCAGTCGCTGGGGACAACGCAGCTGAAGGCAGACTAGGCCACGTCAAAAACACCATGAGAAGGCAAAATGCCTTGGGTCGCCAAAGAAAGAGAAACAAAGCCGCCAATGTACAGGTCTTGGCAGCAGCGGCACTTCACCGCCAGGCAGGGCTGAAAACAGTGCTGACAGCGATGAAGGAGTATCGGCAGGCCTGCTCAACAGGAACAGTGCGAATAACTCCTGCCGAATGTTACGATGAGACCAAAGTACCTTGGCTGCCCTGAAGAAAATTGCCTTTCCCGCCGACGGCGAACCAGGCGGCCTGGGCATATATATGTATATATGTATATATACCCAGTCATACTTGGAATTTATACAACAGGATGGAGGAACGTTGGACAACGATAAGGAAAACAATGCTGGAGCGGAGATCAATCCCTATCGAAGTCAACGGATTGTAGCCCCAAATCATCGGAAACTTGAACCATGACTTAGTAGTGAAACCCCATGGTTGTTTGGGGTCCCCGAAAAAAAAAGAACCCCCCATATGCCATATGGGTTTGATTGAATTCAGTCTCAATACCCATGCGCATCCAACGTGGCGCGAGGGGAAAACTGGAACCTGCGTGCAATTGGACGCTTAGCTGAGTTCACTGCCACTGCCTGGCATGGGATTGGAGTGGAGATGAAAAGGAACACCCCCAACCTTTAAATAGGCCCAAAGGCCCAAACCATCAAAAATCGGGGTTGAACAGGGTTTAATCATCCTGAGATGGATATATATATATATTTATTTATTATATTATATATTATATTATATATTATATTATATATTATATTATATATTATATTATATTATACTATATTATATTATATTTTACTATAATATATTATATTATATTTTGTTATATTATATTTTGTTATATTATATTTTATTATTTTTATATTATATATATTATATATATTATATATATTATATTATATTATATTATATTTTATTGTATTATATGATATGATATGATATTATATTATATTTTATTATATTATATTATCTTATAATATAATATATTATATATATATTATAGATATACAATGCCAATATGGTATTCAGTACCCTTCCAAATGGGCGCCCAAAACGTTAGTACCCAATAACTAATTAAATAAACCAGGGTTTCGTTTGGGTGTTATTTAATATGACTGGGATTCTTCCTGGGGGAAGGGATGATTTTTGGAATTGTTTTTTTCAGGAGAGTCATAGACATGGATGGGAGCTTTGAGGAGTTCCAATTCACCATGCAGTTTTGGTTCTGGCGGCTTTGTGACTGGTACGCATTGAAAAGCATGCAACCAACAGTGAATTACCATGGATTACCATCTTTAGAGCCAATTTTTAACGCGAATTTGGGGTACCATTCTTTTACTATGTGTATAAATCATTATAAGATGGATGGGACATGGCCACACGGTGTGTTGAGCATGGGGGCAGATAGGTTGCACTTAAGGATATAACCATGGCGAACTAAAGCCCGTAAGTTGGGATATTAGCCCTATAAGCATGGTGACATATTCATGAACTTATATATGTGCAACCATATTGGCTTATAATCTGGTTGGTGGTTTGGAACATGTGGATTATTTTCCATACATGGGGAATGTCATCATCCCAACTGACATTCATATTTTTCCGAGTGGTAGGTATACCACCAACCAGATATAGTAATTAAACATATTAATAACCCAATGCTAATATACGGCATATCATGACTATTAACCATTAACATATATAGCCATATATTAATTTGGGGGTGTATCATGTCCCTCTCCGGACTCCGGACGGCCCCAGGATCCGGACGGCTACGTCCGGGTGCGACTGGACAGCGGGGAGTTGAAAGTGACTTGGCCTCCGTCGAGGACGGTCGATGTTTTGGGGATTTTTGGGACTGGCAACCAACAAGTACCCTCTGGTTATGTCAAAATAGCTATTGAAAATGGCCAGTTGTAGTGGAGTTTCCCATTAAAAATGGTGATTTTCCATAGTTATGTTAGTTTACCAGAGGGTAATGTTTTTTTTTCAAGGGAAATGGGGATTGATGGAATTAATTGGATGTTGCATGAGAAAAAAATGGTGGTTTGTTTCATGTGATATAAATGCGATTCTTGAAGTTTATAAACTGGAATTAACGGGTGTTCATCACTGGCTCTTAGTTTTTTTTAAGATTCAAATGTGGATAAGCTAATGGGGATTGGTCAAGTCAATGTCAATACTTGTAAGGTGCTTGGGAGAGAGCTTAACTTTCAGGACCTATGGTTGTATCCATTTCCGATTTTGTGGAAACCAAAGAACCACTTTTTTTGTTTCCTAAGCACATCATAGTATGTATCAATTGTTATCATCTGGTTATTTAACAGTTTGCCATCGAAAATCCACCCATTTTTAGATAAACCATCTATAAATGGGTTATTTTCCATGGCTATGTTAAATAGCCAGAGGGTATATCCGCTTGCCATCCATTTATAGGCATTACTGTATTGGGATGTTGAGTGGCTAGTATTACTAATATTACAAAATAGGGTATGACTAAAACTGGTATTATAGTCACTCATAGTGTCGATCCAGTTTTTTGGAAAGTGAATATTCATTTACTTAGTGTTTGTGTAGTGAAAACCAGATAAAACCAGAGTACCAGAAGGGTTTTGACAGATAATATACCCATATGGTACAGGTTGGAAGTGCAAACACCCAAAGTCGATGGATTATGATCTGGCTTTAGATGCTTTGGATCTTATTTCTTGAATATGGTAAATGTGGTATTGCAGGCCAGTATTGTCATCTTTATTTGTCCACGACTGCTGCAGAGTTTCGGCCATCGGCCGGGTCGTTGGGTGCCTCATTGCACCAACGGTGTCTGATGGTTTGGGATAATCCAATCCTCGTCGTTGATCAAATGATGTTTCGCCCATTCCAAGCGGGACAATAACTTGGAATCGGGGACATCATTTTCAGTGAAAGGATGTTCCATCTATTACACTGGGGCCTTCCAGAAGGTGTTCATTTTCCTATTTGTCAGGAATCCACTAGGAACGTGCAATATTTTTTCCAGGGCTTCAAGCACATGCAAGGGAACTTACACTTACACTTACACATTCAACTGATGTTCAACGAGCACAAATTATGATTCAAACAAGGCAGAACAAGGCAATTGGCAAAAGCACTTTACTTTGATATATGATCAAAGAAAATCTGCTTCAATCAATACCCGACTCAATGCGGGCTATGGATCAATGAATATCAATAATTATAGCTTGAAATTTTGGAGAATGGTCATCCATAAATCCCAGCTATTTCAATCTATTTCATGTGAACTACATGGGATTTTTCAGGTTTTTGACCTATCCTTATGCTGTGAACCCAGGCTGTCAAGCTGAAGAACCTGATGCTGGTGACCCCTCCCGAGCCGAGCGCGGCCTCGCGACAAAGCGCGGCCAGTCGGCCGCCAAATGCGCAGACGAAGGAGCAAGGGCTGGGCATGGCTGGGCAATGGGTTCCCAAACGTAACCCATATAGATTTATATATATATATATTCCACAGTAACCCATAATAGTGCAATATTATAGGCAACCCTAATATGATTATGGGTAATTATAGTTCACCCTCTGGTAAACGTTTACATAACGATGGAAAATCACCATGTTTTATAGGTAAAGCAAATATAAATAACCATGTTCAATAGCTATGTTAAAGTACCAGAGGGTATCTACAAGGTGGTACCACATAGTTGGCCAAATTGGTTTATAACTATATCAATGATTGATGATGATTGCTTTTGTTTGCGCAGGAGAAAGACATATTTTCCCTCGCAAAAGTTTCAAAAAAAGGTATGTGGATCATTTTTCAGTATTGGCCACGTTCCCCACAGCTGCAAGTTTTGCGGCCAGTTTTTCTTTGGTGTTGTGATGCTGATAGCACACATATCCGCATTTTGGTTTACTTCACTTGCAAACTGTCGGTGAGTGGTGGTAGTAGCTGAACAATGAGGCTTTGGCACAAGCCTTTCTTGCTAAACAAACAGCGCTTTTCTGAAAGGATGCCTCGCAGCAACATCATACAATTTGTGCTTTTCCTCTAAGTCATCCTTGAACCTGCTTTTGAGCCGCAGACCTTGTCTTTTACCATGGACGTTTTAACAACATAGCCACACAGCTTTTTGTTTGGTGCAGTTTGGAGCACGGATCAATAGAAGTATTTTTATATATATAATATCCATGTATACGTTATATATCTATAGTTTGTGGGGTTGATCTGGCAATTTATAACTGGGGGGCACCACCTTGTACTAACAAACCTCGGACCCGACAGTTGATGGATTGTTAGGGGAATCATCCCCCAGTCATGGAGCTTTCCGAAGTCATGGGACCCAAATCATCCAGAGATGGATGACCATGACTTAATATTGAAACATCTATGGTGACTTGGGGTCCCCCATTTCGAGAAAATCCCACATAGCCTTAAAGTTCCTTAAAGCCTGAAATCATCTTAAATCCGTTTTGGGATTTATTGTTGCTGTGTTTTTTTGTTTGCAGGTTCAGCTTACCCATTTGGAAAGACACATCTGGATCGATGGAATGAAATCCCTACCATGTACTAACCATAAGCCACCAGCACTTTTGCCAACAGAGCTGTCCAATAGAACCCCAAAAGTCATGTGGGTTCGTCCAATAGTAGGCGATACAGCACTTGTTTTCATTGCGAAAAAGAAATGATTCTCAATCTCAACATATGCTTGGATACCTATTTCAGATAGCTATGGATCAAAATTGGTTCGAAAATTGGCACAAGCAAACAGAACCACCCACCGAGTCGTCATGGAGGTTTCCGAAGTCGTCATGGGGGTACCTCCAAAGCATCCATCTTTGGGATTTTCCATGAAACCAGCGATAAAGGGGTACCCCCACGGGGATAGTTTCCCTTGGCCAGGAGAAATCAAAGTCATTTCTCAGGCCGGGACTAGACGTGATTCAGTGATGGTGAATCGATTTTAGAGGTGGAACAAATTGGAAAAACGGTTGGTAAGATTTTCAAAGGTTTCTGGTCATGTTGGAAACCAAATTAGTGCAGGTAAGGTGAATATATTTTGAGGTTACAATAGTTTATCTAAAAGTTTGTGTTTTTCCACAGACTATATATTTTGCGGTTCCAATATGTATCTAAAAGTTTGTGTTTTTCCACCTCGCCTCTTTGCGATGAATATTGAACTGATTATATATGTAAGTTCAGATTATCAGGTAACATATCCCAGATGCTCCATGTATGGAATATTTACCTACATTTGGGCATTTTTTAGGGTAAATGTAGGTAAATATTCCTTACATGGAGCATCTGGGTATCGGAAATGTGTTAAAGGAAGAGTTGCTAAACCTATAAAAATAAATGGATGTCTCTCCCTGCTGTCACCCTGATGGGGCCCACGCATCCCATTTTTAGACACATGTTTCCCAACCTCCATTTATAAAGCACATATATATATATATATATATCACATATATATATATAATTATATAATAATTATGTATAACAGTTTTTCCCATGAAGTTCCCATTCAAAATCATCAAAACCTCCATTGATCAAGGATATTATGATATTCACATATATTTTCTTATGACTTTCACATGTTTTCCCATGATTTTCGCTTGAGGATTTTCCCATCAGGTGGCCATTGCTGGGTGCCACGACGCTAACGCTGGGGGTGCCACCTGGACATACAAAAAGCTATTGAAAATGGCCATTTATAGTGAGTTTTCCCATGAAAAATATTTAAAAATGCTGATTTTCCATAGTTATGTAAACGTTTACCAGAGGGTAAACCAACAAGACCCCGGTTTCGACCAACACTGTGAAAGTTGATTGGTGAGCTCTTGGGATCTGGGTCAAATTGAAAAAAATACGGCTTCACCAAGCAGAAACGGAAGAAATTCATGCAATATATTTGTCTATATAAGATTGTATAAGAATATAAATAGAAATCATCTCATGATAATGTTATCATTATTCTATGTATTTATTTATATCATAATGTAATCACGGCATAATGAAACAGTGTAATGATAGGCTGCATTTATGCTCTCGAGTTTCGTAATTTCACCAACTCCAAGATGCATCTGAATTTTCATGGGATTTCCACAGGGGCTGGTACCAAGTGGTTTCTGTGGTGATTACATGGGATTAATGTATAATATTGGTAAACATACAATATACTTGGTGCATTAATTTCGTGGTGTTTAATGGAGTTTTGTATAGATATACTCCAATATTAGCGAAGGTATAGGTTGGGTGTTTTTTGGTACATGACTGTAATCCAGCAATGTGAATTGCCGCCTGAGGCTCTACCAGTACTACCTGTTGTCGGAGCAGGATCGCACTCGGGCAGAGCAGAAGGCGTGGAGTTTTGCGCGTTGCGGGTTGACCGCTGTGGCAGCCACCATGTTTACCATCTGGGAAATGGACATAGCTATGAAAATCATCATTTTCCATATGTGTTCCACGTTTTTCTCCATAGTTCATGACTAAAATAGGGGAGACCACGGGCATGTGTCAAATTTCCAAAAGCCAGGGGAGTTTCGTGATTTTTACAGGTCCTAGCGGGACCCCCAATGATTTGACCCCCGCCTTCGCCAGGAAGCGGCGAAGTCCAGCCCGAAAGCCGCTGGCCCGACGGTCCCGAAGGAGCCGCTGCCGGAAGGTGCACAGCAGTGTGTTTGGGGAGATAAAGCCTAGTATGATATAGTGGGATTTGCGCGACAATCTGATAGTTGGGTGTGGTTGAACATATTGTTTTAAACGGGAAAACGATCATAAACCAGTGAATTTAAGGATGTACTAATACCAGAATCAATAAGGTTTAGGACAATGTGGAATTAGCCAGCCAAAATTGGAATTTAAGTGATATTTATCCTTCGAATAGGGGAATTACATTAATATGGTGGTGGTACCATTGATAGGCTTAGGGCAGATTCTATCCCGAGTTTGGCAACCCCCACTGTGAGCCAACAAAAAAAAACAACAGATCCACAACTCATATAAGTAGGGCGATAGAACTGACCACTGTGGTGATAAGTGGATGGAAGAAATCCTGCACCACCTTGGATGGTTGAAACCCTATAAATAATGGGATACACCATCTATCAACTGGTGCCGGATTTCTTCCATCCACAGTATCACAGGACATGGTATGCTGGAAAATAACCAAGAACATGATATTGATTTGTCCAAGTTTGGTATTTTACTGAGTATTATAAACCTGGGTATAAATAGTGAGCATATAGACCCAACATCACCCAATTGAATTCATGGCCATGTCGTGGCTTCACCTGGTCCACGCCAGGTTGGTGTGCGCATTTGGACCCTGGCACGGGTCGTTTGTATTACTGGCAGGAGGCTGAACGGGGTCCCGATGTTGGGATGATCTATACCATTTGGTTATTTAACATAGCCATGGAAAATCACCTTTTTTTAATAGGTAAAGCATCTATTTCTATGGACCATTTTCCATGGCTATGTTAAATAACCAGAGGGTAATTCTGAAAACTGAACATCTAGGAAAATCTAGGAACATCTAGGAACTAAAGATTTAAAACCCTTTCGGAAACTGGGGTGTCCTATTGTTCCACCAGTCTGGTTAGCGTAAAAACGCAACTGGGAGGTGAACTCACGCTGAGCCCAGAAGAATCGCCCATAATCGCCCAAGGAATAGTGTCAGGTAGATATCCCATCAATATACCCATTGTGTTCCCATCAAATGCTGATATTTCCACAGTATTTATCATCTTCCCATGAATCCCATTATTGTTTGTGATAAGTTAGTTCATCGCTAATGAGATTAATGGGATGATTAGTTAGTTATAAGATGGTATAAGTTAGAATAGGATTAGTTGGTCCCACTATTCCAATAGTCGTCCAACTAATTCTAATAGAATAGGATTAGTTGTCCCACTAGTTAATGGTCACTATTAGTAGCATTCTAACTTATCCTAATAGTAATGATGGTTATTTGTTATGGTTACATAATATGAATCCATTAATACCCAAATTACCAATATTATGTAACATAACAAATAATGGAATCCATAATATTGTTACATAATTTGTTTTGGTCACCATATTATGGATCATTATCCCAATATTCTCATCCCCAAATACATTCCAAGTAACAAAGCGACCACCCGTGTCTGGACACATCGCTCCAGGTGGATCCCAGCAATACAGTGACCTGGGACCGACCCGTGGCTCCCGTGGCGAAAACAGCCCGGACGGATCATCGGATCGGTGACCCGGGGGTTCCCTGTAGCAGTGAATTTTCTCAGAAAACATATGACTGGTTGGTGGTTTGGAACCTGAATTTTTGACTTTCCATATATTGGGAACAATAATCCCATTTGACTTTCATATTTTTCAGAGGGGTAGGTATACCACCAGCCAGATGAATTTCATATGATCAGTTACCCGAAGGTCTCACATTTTGATGTGGGTGATGTGTTGCTAGCTATTGATGTCTATTGGTATGTGGGTGAATTGACGTTTGCAATGGATGTATTATTAGCAAGCATTAGGTTGATATTTGAGTTGCTATTAAGAGCGGTAAAGCCAATAACCAGCCACAGTCAGCCTTGTTTCATTTTTTTTGACAGGGGCTGTATGAACCATCCCTGATTTTAGATTTACCACAGGGTTTACATCGTTTACCACATTATATGCACATAAATGTGTGTCTGAAGATAGTCTAACGCCCTTTGTAAATCAGCTAGTTTGTCATTATTTGCCGTATTTATTTTACATACATTAGTCTATCAATCCCATTTTCAGATACACCTCGCCAAATCATATTGGTTGTCCCCGCTGAAAAACCCATCACGCCCCTTGGAGGATCACAAAAAACTTCTTTGAGTGGTTACTGTAATAATCATATCATAAATCATAGTTGTAAACCATTTCATATTAATTATATATACCATCTGGTTATTTAATATAGCCATGGAAAATGGCCCATTTATAGATGGTTTACCTATTAAAGATGGTGATTTTCCATGGATATGTTAAACAACCAGATGGTAAATATACTAAATATATACATGTATGTAGATGGGATAAGCCACTTGGGGGACTTACTCACCAGGGTTACTAACCATCCGACCTCAGCGACCTCAGGGCTTTTCTCAGATGTCCGCTGGAGTGCTGGATTCTGTAGGTGCCGGGTTTTAGCGGGTAAAAACCACGTAAAACCCATATAGGCTTGGGATGGGAACCATCAAAGAGTGGGCATGAAACCAACCATACTTGGAATATCACAGAATATCATGAATATTACGTACTACACTATAATTTAGGTGTGTTTGGAATTGGGCTTGATATCCCTTTTTACGGCAACTTAGAATAAAGAAACAGTTTTTTGGTGAAGGGTAAAAGCCCCGACTTTTTGGCTAAGCAGTCTTCAAAACCTGACTGGATTGGGGTATTATTATAGGGTGTTAATAAACATGTATGTTTATACTTATACTGATTCTTATACTACTGTACCTAGTTTCTTTGGGATTATAACTCACAATAGGGATACAATGAACACCTATTAAACAACAGTTTTTTTTCTTTTTCCATCACACCTTTGGTTGCTCAATCATGCCCTTGTTGGAAGTTGTATCACCCATTTTTGCTGGTGAGCTCTGAATTGCAGCGGTCTAAATCCAAAGCGGCTGCTGAACGGTTGGTCAATTCTAGGTTTTGCTTCGGCTACTTTGATGGTTTGGACATAGTTGGAATACCAAGAAAGACGTTTCATTGAGATAATCATAAGGGTATAATTATAGGCATGTTACATAGCTGGCTGGTCAGCCATAAAAACAGATACTGATCATAGATAAAGATGGAAACCAGCTGCAGGTATGTTAGGTTAAAGATTCCCAAAATACATCCTGAGTTTGTGCACATGTATACATATTTATTTGGAATTTTGCCTAAATAGTAGGGTGTGCATCTCAGTTGGTAATTGATAGTGCGTAGGCTTGTGACCCAGCTATTATGTGTATATATATATACATGCATGCATGTGCTGCCTTACCTTGCCTTGCGTTACGTTGCATAGCATAGCATAGAATAGCGAAGCATAGCATACATACACATATGTGGGATATTTCATGATGTATTCTACTATACCCTGTCCTAATTGAACAGTTTGCTATGGAAACTCACCATTTCCCAAATCGGTAAATCATCTATCAATGGTTCAATTCCCCTGGGATCCACATCCAGTCGCTACATGGTTACCCTCTGGTAAACATACAAAAAAACTATGGAAAGATCCACCATTTTTCATGGGAAAACATCCACTATTTTGACTGGGCCATTTTCCATAGTTGTTTGTATGTTTACCAGAGGGTACAGCCTGGGTTTCCCCGCCTTCCACAGATACCTCCAAGACGATGCCAAGCACCGTGATCTCCGATGGGCCGGTGATGAAAATCGTGGAGGATGGGGCGGCATCCCGGAGACCACCCTGGGTGGGGAGGTCAGAGGCCGGCGCCAGTCATGGCTATTCCCTCTGGTAAACTTTCACATAGCTATAGAAAATCACAATTTTTCATGGGAAAATCCACTATTTCGACTGGGCCATTTTCAATAGCTATGTTTGTTTAGCAGAGGGTAACTATGGGATTGCTCCCATGACTATGGGAATATAGTGGCTATTATAGTGGGAAGAAAAAGTGGGAATAGGAATGGGATTAAGATATATCACCAACAAGATTTTCAAAATATCTGCTTGGTGGTTTGGAACATGAATGGATTATGACTTTCCATTCAGTTGGGAATGTCATCATCCCAACTGACGAACTCCATCATTTTTCAGAGTTGAAAACACCAACCGGATGGGATTGCTCCCATGACTACGGGAAAAGAATGGGAAAGCCATAATGGGGATATACTCCCTGGTAATTTCACAGTTTGCTATTGAAAATGGCGAATTGAGTTCGTTGTTTTACCCAATAAAAACGGTGATGTTTCATAGTTTTTTCTGTGTTTACCAGAGGGTATCTATGGTTATTCGAAACTCCATGACTTGGGATATACAATAATTCTTACTATATGGTTATAACATGTTATAGCCACTTAATTACTAGGAGAACTTTATCTAGTCCAAATGTGGAAATGTGTGGAAGAGTATTTTTATATATGTAGTATATTGTAGCATATATAATTATATGTGTATATATATATATGTATATATATATATATGTATAATTGTACCATTGTATATGTACAATACCGTTTAGAGCACCATTTAGCCCCAAAGAAACGGTACTTTTAATACGGTCGACCAGCAAGCCAGGACGTGGAATACCCATGGCCACCCAAGGTGCGACGACTAATCACTGGATTGGTTGAAGGGAACATCTACAGGAAACCATTGTTTTCCCCATGAAATGCATGTTATAACAGTATGTCGTATTGCTCAATGAAACCGAAAATGTGTGTCACATGGAAGTGAACCTAAGATATACTGTATCAATCCATATAGGTATGGGTGAAAATTGGGTACCCCGATAATTAGATGATACTAAACATACACCAAAATCGTCCCATACGATTTAAATTTTGACCCATACCCATACCCATATGGTTATCCAAGATAGCTAAGTTGGTTTTTAACTCCAATAACTATGGTTTATATATCGAACTAGTTTTCATGGGGATTATAAACTAATTTATAACTGGGGGGCACCACCTTGTTTGAGGTTGTGATGGGGTGAACAGTCCCCCAAGGCCCTTTTTGAAAAAGCCTGGGAATGTCTCTCTTTATCTGCTGATCTCATGGTCCCATAGGACTTAAATTTTGACCCATAGCCATATGATCACCCCATTCTGGTGCGTTTTTGCAACGCGCAACGCGGCCACGCGACCAGGTGTCCCAGCTGGGTCCGTCCCAGTGCTCCCAGGTCGGGATGTCGGGATCGGCTCGGCTGGACGTTGAGGTTTCAGAACTCCGCTGCGCTGCAACCCGTGGTGTTGGTAGAGTTAGCTACAAAAATGGCGCATTTTTTTATTGGAGTAAATATTTAATGATCATATTATAGAAATGTTAGGTTTGGATCGATGTCGTGGAAAAGGGGACAATAAGCAGAACAAGCAGAGAACGCCTGGATGGAGAACTCAGATGTTGGTGAGTTTGACGAGAAGAGAAATGTCCAGCTCTGTGGGTTTGACTGAAAAATCGGCTAGCCATGGGGAGCCCAAGAATTTGATGTTTTATAATCAGGTCCCTGATTTAAACTATATATACAGTATATATGTATATATATATATACACATCTTTTTGAGTTTTTCCTATTTTCAGACAAAGCGATTTGTGCACAACTTCGGTTGAAATCCAGCAGTGGTGACACAACGGGATGCAACAGTCGTCCCGGAACCCCCAGCCCAATCTTCCGGGGATAACAAGCCACAGGTTTCCTGTGGATATGAACATTTCAATAAATCCATTGACACTGCAGCGCATAAAGCTACTTAAAGTTCCTTTTTTTGCTGGACACTCATTATTTGAATATACATTGTCCATCACTATTCCATTGTGTAACCATGACAATACCACTGATTCATGCCATAAGAGCGGGTTCAAAAGCCCTCTTGGTTGGAGGGGTTCTACGCACGTGGCTTCAGTAGGATGCTACCTTTCTATCTTGGAGGTTACTAAACTGTATGGGAATCCTGTTCTTAACCAGTACTTCCATCCTCCTAAGATTTCTCACGCCCAACATGGTCCCAACATGTTTGTGTTGTTTGTGTAACCCCTTTACAAAATCACGGTTTCCTTTGTTTTTGTTTGTTTCTTATAGGGGATGGGATTGGAAAGGGACCGTTAATTTATTCATTGTCACTATATTCTTATGATGGTGGATATATCCCAATTATACTCCCACTGTACCAGTAGTACCGCACAAGGCGGTGGCGGAAGTTTCAAAAATAGGAAACCTATAGGAGAGGTTGGTTGTTGTGAATCAGGGATGGCAGAGCGAAACCACTGATGGACTGAAAGGTGCTTGAGGTCTCCTCTTTTTTTTTCTCTCTCTCTCTCTCTCTCTCTCTTTTCATCTCTGTTTCTCTATCTTTCTCTGATTATCTACCTACCTACCTACTGATCTATCTGTCTATCTATCTATTTATCTCTCTGTCTATCTATCTCCCTATGTATTTATCTAGCTGTCTATTTTTCTTGCTATTTGTCTATCTATCTATCCATCGATCTATCTATCTATCTATCTCTCTCTCTCTCCCCCTCTCTCTCTCTTTCATCTGTCTATCTGTCTACCTGTCTATCTGTGGTGCAGCGTCATTCAGTGTAATGTAGTGTAGATGACCAGGCGTGTCCTGACCTCCTAACATCTCTCATGAACATGTCTTTTGTACTGCGCCTGCCACGAAAATGCATCTCTGCAGATCTTCTTCAAATGTCCCATGCCTGCCATCATTCTTGGAAATGCTACAAAACCCTCACGTTTTGGTCACTTTTGACAAGGTGCACAATCCCTTGCGCCTGCCACGCAAAACGACATCTGAACCTCCAAAAATGGTCCGTACATGGTGTGTTTTGTACATTTTGACTTCGAAATGTGCTTCGCGCCACATCGCGCCACAACGGCGTGCACTTTTTTGACATCGCAACTTCCAAAAGTGGTCCGAGAATGGTGTGCTTTGTGCATTTTGACTTGGAAATGTGCTTCGCGCCACAACGGCGTGCACTTTTTCGACATCTCAACTTCCAAAAGTGGTCCGACAATGGTGTGCTTTGTACATTTTGACTTGCAAATGTGCTTCGCGCCACAACGGCATGCAATTTTTCATCTCTCATCTGGCCGGCTGGCTCCGCACCTGCCGCTTTAGCGAGCCTACTTTTCGACCCTCCGAAGCCACAAATCATTGGAAAACACAGTGTTTCGCGACTTTCCTACCTTTTCACGCATCTGCATCTTCTTTCTTCTGACTCTTTCTCTTCTACTCTTCTCTCTTCTAATCTTTCTATTCTCTCTGACCCTTTCCATCTCTGCTTTTCATCTGTCCATATTGTCAGAAGTTTGACTTCTAAACTTCCTTCGATAATGATATTATAGTTATATGCACAATATAAATATATATATATATGTAAATATATGTAAATAAATATGCACACTACTGTACATAGATATATTATATATATATATATGTACAATGTATATATATATATGTATATATATATATATGTGTGTATATATATATGTACAATGTATATATATATATATGTATATATATATATACACATACAATTTCATACAATAGATATATGCATAGACAGATCATTGTAATTTTCCATCACTATTCCAAGTGGTTTCATGACCATAGCCATCCATTGCCATATGGACCTCAGCTTTTTGCTTGGCTCGTGAGTGGTGGCCGGGGCTCCCACTCGATCGACCCCTGACAAGTTCCACGGTCGTCTCGGTCGTCTCGTGCCGGAAACGACTCCTGTCGTTCCCATGGCGTCCATTGTGTCCTTCGTGCCCTCGCCTGAGGCACGTTGCAGCACAACGGTGTTGGTGCTGTGAAGCAACTGGACAGTTGGAAAACATGCTGGCTCCATGGTGCAATCTGCAGTTTTCATCCACAATCGTCTTAGAGTCTTGTGTAATTCGCTTTGTTTTTGCTGGACTAAGATTTTGGTCATGTTTGGTCTTCGATCATGGGCCTTAGAGATCCAAATTTTGTTGGCTTCAAGCATCCATAAGTCAACGTTGACAACTGTGCAAACCCAACCCCAAAAAAGATACCGAAAAAAATACTTCTTCACCACTGCGTTGGAAAATTTACCAACTTCTACCAAATTGGGATTGCCACATTTTATGCCATCGACTGGGCTTTCCCGCATCGTCACAGGTCGTCATCTCCTCCTTGCCACGCCATGCGGCCACAGCGACCCCTGCGGACCCCGCGCCCGGCTCCTCGACTGCGCCGCGTGGCGCTCTTCCAATGGTCGCTGCAGCTGGTGCCGTGCTGGCAAAGCAGAAGCGACGTGCGACGGACACTTGGATGATTTGGGGCAGTGTGTTTGGGTCAGAACCGATTATTAATGATTATTACCATATGACTAGGGGAATCAACATCTATGAACCATCCAATTTTAGGGTAGCAGATTTGACATATTTGATGATCTCATCATTTGCCACATTGATTAAGCAAAAGGGCAAACAGTTTGGATATTAAGGCCGAGAAAATGGTGATTCCGTCCATTCTTTGGATGGGAATAGGTTTGCAAGTCTGGTGGTATCAATGTGCATCCAAAAAGATAGGGGCAAGCAAACAGAACTTGAATAGGGGATATTTTGGATATGACTGGTAAAAATTCGATTCTGCCAACCCAGATATGCGGTGCCATGTCTAGGTTACATGGGACACCCAAGTTTGACCAACACCACATGGACAAAAGGATAGACAAACATCTGAGACAATAGGAGTGCTGGATATTATACGGGGAATACATGCGGAATACATGCTGTGGGATGGCACAGTAGATAGATGCCAGATATGAAGCCCATTTCTTTTAGAATATGAAGAAGCCAAATGGTGTAATCACTGATACCTGAATCCAGTGAGTTAACTGAGGTGACTCTAGTTTCAAGTCCAGACATGTACATATGCAATCAGGCAATTATGTTCCTGTGTTGTTGAAGCCAATCCTTCACAGTATCTCACAGATGTGTCATTTTAACTGGTGTCCAGTTGTTTGCCGGCATGTTTCTTGTCTCGAGCAAACTCTCATTTCCCAGAAATTGCTTGTTGTGGAGAAAACTTGGCGGTAACAAGATCACCCTACAATAAGACCAGGTTTGATGCTGTGGGACCCGACTGTGGGACCTGCAGCTGCTCTGGTTTCTTGTTGCCTGGTCATCTGGAGGCTCAACGACACAAGGATATCTGCAGCTTTGCAGGTGTATGTCTGTCTGGCTCGCGCATCTCACTCTCAAGTACTGCGAAGAACAGCCGACAAATGCAAACTGCAAAACTGCAGCTGAGGCCAAAGTGGAAAACGAGCTGCAACATGCTGCAACCTCTAGAATCCGTTGGCAAATGATGCCCGCACAAAAGACCAACCCACTACCCAACCACCTCGACGCTTTTTTGGTTTGGCGTCCTTTGGTGCTGAGAGTTCCAGTGTCTCCGAGCAGAGGCTGTAGAGCCGCCTTAGTCAAAGCAGACGAAGATCGCGACTCTGCCGCCGTGGATGCTGGACTACCAATCCTGATGGATCTCAAGTGGTGCCGGTCTAACCCCAAACCAATAGAATGAAAGTTTGGTTTCAAAGTTGCTTATACAATCTTATACACCTATCTTTGAAACCAGTTTCAATACTTATGTTGAATTAGTTATCCCATTTCAACTGACCATCAGCCATGGATATGCCTAACTCCCTTGGAACAGTCATCAAAAGCTCCTCATTTTTGAGCGGCCAGAAATGGGGGGATCAGCCCTAAACTCTGACCCCAAATCTGATGTAGCTTTGTCCCAGTAAATCATCAGACTTACCATCTGGTTATTTAACGGTTTGCCGTGGAAAATCACCATTTTTAATAGGTAAACCAACAATAAATGGACCATTTTCCATGGCTATGTCCAATCACCAGAGGGTAATACCATGACTTTAGCGATATTGTCGGCTTTTTTTTTCAGAAATATATCCCATGAAAAAATCCCGTTAGATCACCACGAAAAAACAGTACTTTGGCGTGAAATTTATTCCAGTAAATCAGTGTGTTAGATCAGTATTTCATGGGTTATAACCATCAAAAATGGTGGTTTCCTAATGGCTAGGGGTAGCCCGAGTCATCATCCATTTTTGTTTGGGATTGTCCAGCCATTTTTAACCACCCAGCGAGCTTCGGGTACCCCCATGACTTAGGAAACCACCATGTAAGTACTATTTTCATCTAATTTCCCTATGTATCATTATATCCCTATGTTATCCCATTTTATAATATGGAATCCCAAAAATATTCCGGATCACATACCTAAAATATCCTATGGAATAACAATGGAATCCCTATGTTATATCAATATGTTTGGCTTGAAAAATCAACATAAATCGATATAAATCCCTATGTTAAATCAGTATTTCATGGAATAACCAGTATAATTATATGAACACCATTTATCATCTATATTTATCTGTATCAAAAATAAATGAATGATAAATAAATCCATATAAATCCCAGTATCCCTATGTTAAATCAGTATTTCATGGAATATATAAGTACTATTATCCCTATGTTTTACGATGTTTTGCCTTAAAAAATCCCTATGCTTTGGCCATAAAATCCCCAACGGATCCACCCACAATCCGTCAGAGGTGCGCCGCTTGGGGCCCACGGCCAGCGCGGAACTGTTGGAGGTGCGATCCGCGGAGCAAGGCGCGGTTTTGACGAAAAAATATCAAGAAACATTGGTTTAATATGGTTTAATATGGTTCAATATGGTTTAATATGGTTTAATATGGTTTAATATTATTTAATATGGTTTAATATGGTTTAATATTGTTTAATATGGTTTAATATGGTTTAATATGGTTTAATATGGTTTAATATGGTTTAATGTGGTTTAATATGGTTTAATATGGTTTGGAGCATTTTTCCATCTATTGGGAATAATCATCCTAACTGACGAACTCATTTTTTCAGAGGGGTAGGTTGAAACCACCAAGCAGATTACTAATGATTACAAATGTCTAATGATGATTACTAATGGTTACTAATGATGATTACTAATGATTACTATTGATAATTACTACTGATGATTACTAATGAGTAGTATCATGTTTAATGATGTCTAATGATGTCCAATGATGTCTAATCATGTACGACTGGGCGTTTCCACTAAGTCATGGGGGATTTGTAGGTCACCATCGGTTACGAGTCGTCCATGACGTCGTCGGATGCAAGGAGTACATGGATTGGAAAGCTCCAAGTCCTGGTGCACTTTGTTTAACAAAGGATAGACATGGATTTGTATAATCAATGTTACCATGTCAAATTATAAGTTCTGGATTTCCCTAAAACCATCCACACAATTAGTGGATTGATTGTATACATAATCATGAAAATACGAATTTTGTGGATGGTAAAAGTTTAAGGGAAATCTACAGGAAACCATGTTTTTTTCCATGACATATAGGTGTTTTTCTTGTAAATTTGAAACCAAAAACCAATCCAATGAATGGAATAAAAAACCAGCCAAACAGATGATGATATGATGATTATGTGAATGAATGGTGATGATGATGATGAAAATTTGAATACTTGGATATTTGGATATGTGGGTGGATGTCCTGAAACATATTTTCTGAGTTCCATCTGGATGCTATGAATCAATCATCTGGAAAGGGAAACGGATTAGTTTTCACATATAATAAATACATACGTATAACATATATATATAATTATAATTATATATATATATATTATAGATTTTGCCTGAAAAAAAACGGAAAAAAACAAACACCAGCAGTTGATGATTAGTAATCATAAATGACAAATAATTAAAAAAAAAGCATGCTGAAATGGTGGCAATAGCACCCAATAGCCTTATTTCCAGACAGTCACACTCATATGGTGGCATGGCGGTGAACACATGTTTAGATCATGCAGAATATCTGGCTGGTGGTTAATTACCGAATATATGTGTGTTATTGTCAAACCTAATTGGGATGACGATCCCAATTTTTCGTTTTTCAGATCGGTCGAAACCAGCAACCAGGTGTTGATTGGAGTTTTTCCTTGTTTTAAACATCCAAGATATCAAAAGATTGGATATCATCCAGAAACGATAGTCAAGATGTTGGTTGATTGGTTTGTATGTGTCGTTTATCATCCCCCAACTAGCCTAGAGTCCGTATCAGATGTGGGAGGGAGGATCATCGTTGGTTATATGATATATATATATATATTGATATATGATTTTGACCAGCAGAAATTGGGATATCATATGAGCTGGTTGGTGGTTTGGAACATGTCTTATTTTCCATAACATGGAATAATAATACTCCCATTTGACCTTCATATTTGTTCAGAGGGGTAGGTATACCACCAAGTAGATATGAATATATAATAACTATGGTTTATGATGGTTTATGGGGGATCAAACATATGATTGATGTTGATTGATGGTTGGTTGATTGGTTCTCTACGTAGCCTACCTCGTTCGAGATTATGGGAGCCACCAAAATCTGCCAGGGATTCTGATTGACGGTATTTTTTCCGTTGATTTATGATGACCACCAGGAAGGATCAGCAAGGTTTTTTGATTATATATATATATAAGTGTTATTAATGCTTTTTTTTTAAAGATGATGACCCACAATGACTAGGCGTGGTTTTTCGAAATGGGTTGACACCACGGTAACCATAATTCTATTTACTTTCCATCACGATTGGTTATACCATCTTAGGTGTATCGAAGGATGCGGAAAATTTTACACCTGACGGTTTTCTGCCACGAAGTGGTGGCCCATAGTTTGCTAAGTTAGCATGGCTAGGGTTTATGGTAGGATCGAACTATAGCTAAAGCAATAAACATAACTGGCACGACATTGTATAAATAGCCATTACGTGAATCACGACACCGACAGCCGCCTGCTTTGGCTTTTGTTCAGACACGCGTCAAGTAAACCCCAAAAACATAACATGGAGCGGTGGATATTCCGGTTTGGTGTTAAAACAGCATTTGTTGTCGTCCATGTCATAGTGTGTCTCAAAATATAATAACCCTAAAATCCAAAGGTTTAGAGGGTCATTGTTCCTATTAAAATTGCCATGAATTGGTGTTTCCACCCATGTTTGAGTGGTTTCGCCATTTTTCCCCGAACATTAACAATCATGTTGTTTATTCCATTGACACCTGAATTTACCCCATACGATCAAGGCTATCATATGTTATCATATCCATTTTAGCCATGACTTGGCTTAGTGATTCCATGTCCATTGTTTTCAAACTTTGTTTTGTTGGTAAAGATGTTCAACAAATCCACATGTTCAACGGCTGTTTACCATCCACAAATCTACATCTTTCCGTGTTTCCTCATTCTTTGCTAGTTGAATCCACGAATCCGCATCTTTCAGCCGTGCTTCTTTTGTTCGCTGATGGTTGCATCAAAATCCATGAAAATCCGCAGTCGGGATTTCCAACCTTTGGCTTTACTAAAACATCATGTTTCAATATGCCTAAATCCTTGGATATCCTTGGTCAAATCCCTTCAATATGTACTTTCTGGTACTTTAACATAGCTATTGAAAATGGCCCATTTATAGTTGATTTACCTATTAAAGATTGTCTGGTTGGTGGTTTCAAACATTTGGATTATTTTCCATATATTGGGAATAATGATCCCAACTGACGAACTCCATCATTTTTCAGAGGGGTAGGTATACCACCAACTAGTTGTGATTTTCCATCGCTTTTTGTATGTTCCATCAAATCCCAAAAAAGTATCCCTATGGTTGATATATCCCCAAGATCATCCATTACTTTTCCACTATAATCCATATATGTTCCCCCTATGGAAACCTATGTTAATCTATATCCCTATGGTTAATATATCCCTATGGTTAATATAATCCACGATCCATATATTTTCCCATGGAAACCTCCATATTTTGGACATCCGGCACGGTCCGCCAGGCACTGCCTCGGATGTGAAGCCCTGGCAGTTCCTCAGTGGCATCGCCAAGGACGCGGCGCGCGCCTGGTTTGTGCAACGCGCTGAGGACCGGGGCATCGCTTGGAGGTGCCGAACCGTGGGGGAAACCGATACGGCGGATACGCTAAGTTGATCTAAGATGATGTTTGAGTTACCCTCTGGTTATTTAACAGTTTGCCATGGAAAATCACCATTTTTAATAGGTAAACCATCTATTTCTATGGACCATTTTCCATGGCTATGTTAAATAACCAGAGGGTAATAGTGGTGAATAGTGGTGAATGGATGGTGAATAATGGATAATAATGGTCATAATAATGGTTAATGATATGCTACCCTACTGAAAATGGTCCATAGAAATAGTGGATTTACCCATGAGAAATGGTGATTTTACATAGGTATGTTCGTTTACCAGAAGGGTAAATATATTACAATTTATAATATAATAACTATAAACCATTATAATAAACCATTATGTATGGTTTATGATGGTTTATGGGGGATCAAACTATTGGGATATATGATGATATATGGGGGATATATAATGAAAGTCATGGAATAAATTGATGGAATATTACACATGAAGATGCGTTAGTAGCTATTAGTCTTCCCATGTTCGAAGGATGCTTAGAAATCAAACTTCCGATTCATGGACAGATGCAGCAACAGTCGTGGGAAGAGTCAGAGAAGAGAGAGCAAGTAGAAGGAAGATCAAGTGCCCGAAAAGGTAAAAAAGTGGCGGAGGGTTGAAAAGTAGTAGGCTCGCTTTAAAGCAGCGGGTGCTCCAAAATGCAACCCATCTCAGGAAATCAGCGCCCTGGCCCTGACCTCCTAACATATCTGCTGGAGGTGTCTCTTGTACTGTGCCTGCCGCACAAAATGCATCCTGGCAGATCCCCTTCAAACATCCCACGCCTGCTTTTGCTTTTTTTGAACCTGCTACAAACCCTCACGTTTGGCTCACTTTTCGCAAGGTGCAGAATCCATTGCGCCTGCCACCAAAAATCACGCTTGGACATCTTAAAGTGGCCACAACACGCGGCGTCGTTGACAGTTTGACTTCGACATGTGCTTCGCGCCACAGCCGCATGCACTTTCTGTGAGTATAACACAACTTCAAAAAGTGCTCCGATGTTGAGGTGCTTTTGACATTGTGACTTCAAAACGTGCTTCGTGCCACAACCACGCGCACATTTTCAACCACTCAACTTTCAAAGGTGCTCCGCCGCTAAGATGCTTTTAACATGTTGGCTTCGACATGTGCTTCGCACCCACAGCCAGAGTATATAACTTGTTGACTTCGAAACGTCCTCCGCACCACAGCCGCATGCACTTTTTCAACAACTCAACTTCGAAACGTTCTGCAGGGTTGAGGTCCTTAAAAAAATTGGCTTCTTGCGCCAGTCGCATGCAACTTTTGATCTCTCCTCCCGCGACATATCTCCGCAAAGTATCGAAAAAGAAGGCCAATGGCCCAACAGATGGCTCTGGTCCAAGTTGCTATGCTCCTCAAAAAAACAGATGTTGAGCGTCCAATCAGTTTAACGAATGTTGCGCACCGACCCTGGACAAAAATGAGGAAATAATATCTATAGCAGGCCATTGGTTGTTGTCAGACAAGCAAATTGCTTTATGGGACAATGACAACGCAGTGAAGGGGAACACATGCTTGCAAGCATCCCTTACTCGTCTTGTGCGTGCTGAGATGGCCAAAGTGTTCAAGCTTTATCAGATTTCGGTCCTTCTTGGTTTGTCATTTTTTAACGATCTGATTGCCCCTTCCTCTTGTACTCCCTGATGGAGCCGGCCTCGGGCATTGGGTCCGAAGAGGTAGCTGTTGTACATTGCGGATCTTCGTGCAGAGGGCTGCGTGTTGCGCAGCACCGTCACCTCAGGTGGATGGAATATCTGTGTTATTTCGATTGTAATATGACTATCTTAACATTATATGAGCAAAGACCTAAAGGGTTCATGTAGAAACTTAGTATTGAGAGGTCCTATGATGGAAAATGTTGCGCAAACCATGGAAAGCGATATGGTGAACTACTTAAAGCGATAATGTGATTTCATGATGAATTTGAAAGTCTCTCTGCTTTTCCGCAGCTATTTGGGGTTGACAAGGGGTGACCAGTTGCTTTTCTGTGCCGGGAAGCATGTGCATCATTGTTGCTATTGGTTGGATTCTGCAGCTTCTTTTCCATGTCAGAGAAGGATGCTTTGCGCAGATTTTGCGCAGCTGTGTTCCAAAATGAGATTTTGTTCGCAGCACTGCGGTCTGCCGCTGCGGATGTGAAACCAGGCGCTCCCCACCGTATTGGCCTCCTCACTTCCGAGCAGAGAACTTGGTGCCAAAACCTACTGCGACGCAAGCTGTGGAAGCTGCATCTTGACTTGTGAGAAGCAACTGTTCAGATTTTTCCTGATTTTTCCATTTTCCCCAGATGAATTTATCGATAACTGTATCGATAACCGATCGATAACCAAAAACAGCCCAAAGCACTCCCGGGCAGACAGAGGCCCAATCCATCCCTGTCACTCACACAGGTTGATCCTGCGGACAAAGACATTCTTCAGGAGCAGGACCTGCAGCCTGCAAACCTCAACTATTTGCAACCGTCCTTGCGAAAAAGTCCACACGGCACAGAGGCCCCTGGTGACCACGGCAGTTCATCGTCTTCTGCCGCACCTGGCCTTTCTCCAACGAGATTGTGCGGAAGCACAAGGCTCAGAGCTCCAGTTGGCACGGGCCAGCTTTGAAACCACAAATTGAACACACCTTTGACCAAATGATTCAGCGAGATGAAGAAATTGCAAAAGCAAAGGTTGCGCGAAAAGCGTAAACGCCAAGACAACTTACTGCACTCTGACCGTGACGTGCCAGTGTGAAAACAAGCGGCCGCTGTCCACCAACCATGTGGAAACAAGATGAAACAAGTGGGTTTACAATGGTTTACATGTCCAAATCAATGGCCAGTGTGTGACATGTGCTACAAAACCCTGTAAATCGATATAGCGAACTACTTAAATCGATAACTTTGTCCCAATACCGCCTCTGTGACCCTTAGTTTTGGTCCCTTCTCATATATATATATATATACAGTATATATATATATATTATAGATTTACTGACTCGATGACTTTTGGTTTTCCCAATGGGAAATCCACTGATTACTTGGGGAATCTCTATGGGAGTATGTTTTATATTTTGAGGGTTTCTGCAGCAAATCCATGTATTTGGGATATAGTGGGATATATAATGCAAGTTCCTTACGCAAATCCAAGTAATGGTGATATAATTTTAGTGGGCTAGGTGTAGTTTTATGGTTTTCGGGTTCAAGCAGAAACTGCTGGGGGGGGGGTCAATTATTTTTTGTCTTTCGACTATGCCAAAAGGATGATTGGCTGAGATGGCTTCTGATATTTCTTTTGACGGGCTCAACCCACCACCTAGATGGTAAAGTTGCTTGGGCCAACAAGTGGGAATTAAACAATTTTCAACGATGGTTTAATATGGTTTACTGTAATGGGATACATCACCAACAGCAGTGTTGTTAATAATAGTTTGCATATCTACAATGTGCCCTCTCCTGCTAGTAGTTGTAAGATGCTCAAGCTGGTTTATTACCCATCCAGCTAGGCAAAACCACTTCGTACAATTTTGTTTCCGCAGGTTTTGTTTAGTTACCGTTTTTTGATCAGTTTACAGGAAGGAAAGTAGATCATTTTCCCTGCGATTCACCGACAGGTGTCAATATTGTTTTGTCCATTTACCAGATGGTAAGCAGGTTCAAAAATTGGTTGCGTACCCAAGTGACAGCAATTTTTGTCAAAACAAATGACGAAATCCATGATCAGCTGCCGAATTGGGGGGTACCCGATTTTTAGCGTAACATGTTACATGGGGGACATGAACCTGCGAAAACGGGGTTCCAGCAATTTGTAAGGGCAAACGCCCAACCATTTGGGTATCGGTATGGCTAAAATATCAACTCTCTTTGGATGATTTGAAGCCTTGAGCATGACCAGTTTTCGGGTTTTCAATACCCCGAATGTGCATTCCATGCCCAGGTGGGGATAGATATGGCAAGCCATGTGTTTTTAAGTCTGACCAATCAAAACAGGATTTCACCCACCAAAATCATGATTTTATGTATAGAAATTGATAAACAAATGTAAATTTGAACAACCTTTGACCACCCATTCTACAAGTGGGATGCACCTCCCATGATTTTCCATTATTTTCTCCTATATATATATATATGTATATACACATACATCTACAATCGGTTTGTACGCCCCAATGTTGATGATGAAATCCCCATTTTCATGAACGTATAAGTTATACAGTTATACGGTGGCTGGTGATGTCCCGCTTTATTAACCAAATTTGAAATTATCAATAAGATGGGAAATCCCCAATTTCTAACCATTTCCTAACCAGTAAAAAAAGTTAATCCCCATGTTTTGAAATTATTAGCCGATTGGAATCTAGATGGTTTAACCGTTATTTCACCATCCAATGATCACTTTTTCGGTGGCAGTGATATCCTTTATTTTTCGTTTGATCCATGAATGAACTACCAGATGGTTATCTTCCATCAAAAAATATAATCCCCAGTATGAATCATCCCTACCTGCATTGGTTCCTGCAGGTTCAGTGTCGAGAAGATGCAAGCGCAGCAACTTGGAGTTTTTTACGAACGTGCTGTGTGTTCGTGTGCGTGTGTGTGCCTGAAGCGCATCAGTGCTTGGGGTTGTAACCAGCAGTGACCGAAACCCTTGTTGATTGATCATAATACCCATATGCTCCATGTATGGAATATTTATCAACATTTACCTTCAAAATCACCCACATGGAGGTAAATACATATACCATACATAGAGCATCTGGGATAGGAGGTTCTTCTAGGTAGTTTAGCGGAGATGATTTTAAGCCATTGTGGATATTGTGGGAATCCAATCCGATGCTCAAACGGGACAACCCAGTCAGGAAACTTCTTGAACTGGATGGTGATTTGGAACATTGTTTATTTTCCACAATATTTGAGATGATGATCCAATCTGACTCATTTTTCGAGGGGGTTGGTATACCACCAATTAGTAACATGTGGCTGGCTGGGAAATCCCCGTTGCCATGCTTGATACTGCTGGGGGGATCCACCAAAAAGTGAGGATGAACCAAGGGTTGATGCATATCCCATAGGAACCATGTATGCTATATATGGTAACATTGGGGGTATATTGGTGGTAAATGTTACCATATATACCATACATGGATCCTATGGGTATGTACATCGAACCTTGGGTCACGTCTTTGAAAAAGGAGCATGTCAGTGAGTTGATGCAGAAGAGTTGCAGCTCGCTTCTGGATGGCTTCTGAACCACCATTGAAAAACCAAGTTCCAGAAATCTATGTAAATTTGCCATTCGTCTGGTGACTCACTCCATAAATATCCTTTTGGTTGCATGATTCATCCAGTTCATCGGTGAAATGCATACCGTTTAATGATCAAATCATCGTGATCCCAACTGGCTGGCGAAATCACGATCTTAAGTGATTAAATCACCAGAATTTCTCAAGAATCAAGCCGTATATGTTCCATTCATATCTTCCATATACAAAAAAGCTTGTTTCAGGATATTAGTTCCCATATATGTTCCCATATATATTTGGTTTTTAATATAACCATACGTTTGCCCCGTTGTTTTTGCGTCTCCTTGCGACTTCGGCCGGCACCGGCACACCGGCCACGAGGCAAGAGGAGTTGGAAGCGAAATACCACGAGCTGCGCAACGAGTTTGGACCCAAGGGACGGTCGATCAGATGGGGAAGGGCGGTCATTGGGACGGTCAATGGTAGCAACCGCAAAAAAAAAACAACCAGTAACATAGGGTTAATATAATTACTGGTTGGTGGTTTGGAACATGTTTTATTTTCCATAATATATGTTATAACCCTTCCCATTGACTAATATTTTTCAAGACGGTTAAAACCACCAACAAGATTAGTAAGATATACCATAGTGGTTATATTATATATACAAGGTGAGGCTCTCAAGATATATCTTAGTTATAGAATTTATAACTTATGTTAGGTGACTTAGTTTGAAGTTAACATAAGTTAAGTTGGGGTAGTTATATACTAATTTATATCTAAGATATATCTTTCATAACTTATTTATATCTTTTTGGATCTGTTGATTTGATGAAATTGGATTTGTTTAGAGGAACCGACCAGTTCATGTGAATTCACTCAAGGTGCCTTTTTTCCGCTCAGATCAAGCAGTGAACGAAATCTTCTGGGCCGTTTCGGATCCACGTTGGAATTGTTGGCGCGTGCAGTTCGGACCACAATTTCATTATCTTTGGCCCTCTGAACTGAAAATTTCTCTGTGCTGCGGTAGTTTTGATTAGTATTCCTTCCGTCGCGTAAAGGAACAGTTTGCTTTCCTTTTCGACGAAGAAATGGCACTTGGCTGCGGTTGCCAAATTGGAACCCCATAAGAGGATATCATTTTCTGCGAGTTCCAGCATTCCAATGCTGCATTGGGCGGATACACGGCAACCCTCAAGGTCTGTTTCTGTCTCGATTTCTTGCTGGCTGAAGGGGTTGCGGAGCTCAAATCCCAATTGTGCAATTGGGTTCTCGCGCAGCAATTCGCAGTGGCGCATCAGCAGGCGCGGCATAAGCTGCTTGCTGAAATGGCTGCCACCGATTTGTTCTGTCAAGAAATGACAGACTGTCGGCGCAAAGACTCCCTTGTAGTCTCGATGCTTTGACTCTGTACCCCAGCAGTTGCGTTGGCAATCCAAGCGGGAGTACTGTTCGCTCAGGTGCAACCTTGCGTGGTGTTTCGGTCTTGTACTGTCGCGATACAGCGCGACAAAAAGTTTTTGATGCTCTGACTGCAACCGATAGAGTGTTTCATAATTTTTGGATTGGGCCACACGCCGGATGCAGTCGACGCACTTGCACAGCAAGAGAAAACACCGTGCGTAGGGCTCCAATGCGGGAACTGATAGCCACACACTTTCGGCTAACCACCGCAGCAGAAACGTCAGGGCTCGGGTTTGTTTGGCTCCTCCTTTGTAGAGGTTTCCGGAAAAAAAACATTCTGTGAACAAGCGCTTCGTCCAGTGCTTGTTTTCGCCATTGCGGTGTTGTTGGCCTGCTCGCAGCCATTGTGCATCCAGCACAACTTGTTGAATGGTTGCGACGTCAGTGCCCGTGTGCTTCTTCACTTCGGCGAGCAGCAGCACAATCTCCGCAGAGCAACAGCCGTTCGCGAAATAGCAGTGCATGCTGTCGTTCACAAAACGATGCAGCGGCAACACCCGTTTGGCGATAGCGGATTCCCACATCCCGCCGACGCCAATATTGTAGCCCAGGCACCGCTCACGCAGATCCCTTTCGGCCTTCGTCGCACTGTGCCATGTGCGCAGTGCCCGCGCCATGTAGTCTTCAATTTCCGACTGAGTGAGTCGCTGGCATTTCAGCAGGTCGTGCTCGTGCACCGTGACAAAGTTGTCACTGTTCGCTGCCGTCTCTTTTGCGGATCTACTGAGCACGTTTTGGCAGAACGCGCATGGTTTCAGGCCAGCGCTGCCTTTTGCGCACAAAGCCAAACGCTGTGCGTCAAGATCGGAGACCAGGCAATGGATCGTCAACGCGATCTTGACGCCCGGCAACAATGTCAACGCTTCTTGCGTTTGTCGATACCAGTCTTCCAGAAACAACGAATGGATCTTACTCAGGCCACCAGTCACCTGGCTGACTTGCCGGTGAGTGATGGCAGCTATTGGAAGCCAAGCACGAGGACTTTCGTGCATATACTGCAATTCGCAGAAAGTCGCATAGAAGAGCACCACCTTTTGGCTCGCATCGGTATTCAATACGTTTCCAGCAGTGGTCTCGTCGTGCGACAATATGATTTTCCCCGACCTCCGCAGAAAATCGGAGAAGGAAGGAACTACCCGCGATACATAGCGCAGAAGTTCTCCAATTTGCGCCACTGCAAATTGGATGTCTTGCGAAGCCGGCTCCAAGTTTGGAGCTGAAATCAGATGATAACACCGCAGAGCTGGCTCCATCTCTTGCGAGAACTTGCGCTTCATTGCGCCGCTTGGTTTTGTCGACGCCTCTTTTCCTTGCAGCAACCGCTGCAAGGTCCAAATGCTTTGCTGGCTGAAGCGTGCCATGGCCGCGTCATACCGCGGCGCCGCGGACGATGAGGCAGGGGACATGTCAATGTCTCTGGCAGGGATCCGCGCACCTAGCAGTTCTGAGCCGCAAGATAGACAGCAGCTTCAGTCATCAGTGAGTGGTTTATACAGTTGTTTGGTTACAAGGTGGATTATAGTTTACAGCTAGAGTTTCTTCAGTTAGGAGACAGGAAAGCAAGCGCGCCTTTTTTCCGCGTGGTGTTACACAGAACCGTTCCGGTTAATCTACTTCCTCGAAAAGAGTCTCCTCTATGCCCAGAAGCCAACCTTGGATCCAAACCCATGGTTCTGTTGTGAAAACGTGTGAATTTTCACACAGGAATTGGGCACTTGATCGCACCTCGGATGATAAGAATCGACTCCGGGGATGCTTCCAGTGCCAGCAGCGGTTGGGATAGTGCTTTGGAAATTTCGGTAGGGGTAGCTCCAATATTGCTTCAGGACACATGGAGCAATCCCAGGCCAAGAGAAGACCTTTCAACAACAGCAACATGTCTGTAATGGCGCGAACAGTCTGCGCCAATTGTTCATGGCCATCCTGAACAACGACTTGTAGCAAATTTTCCCGCAGCAATTCAACCGGTCCGTGTGCTAGGTCACGAAGCTGCTCTTCGGACTTGCTGGCCCGCAGGCTAGCATTAGCTAGGCTGGCGATGGACGCCATCGAAAGCACGGATTCCGCAATCGCCATGTCCCACGGTTCGAGAGCGATATCAACTGCGCATCCTTGAAGAAAACACTGCAACGAAAGGCAAGTCACGTCATATAGCGCAAGGATGTACTGGAACATCGGATTATATATATATATATATCTATCTAAAATATATGTTTATATTCATTTATTTCATCTACATGTGATATATGAATGCGTGTAAGTGAGTATATGATATATATATATCTATATATATATATTATATATATAATTTATATATATATAATATATATAATTTATAATATAGGATTTATTCATTTATATGTGTATACATATATATATATATATATATCAGGCTTTAATGCAGTCAAACCCTGTGAGCATCCGGGCCAAGTTTTTTTCCGCACGTGTGAAATGGTTGCACTTCACTAGGAACGCATGGCAATCCCCAATGCCAATTTTTTGCGGTCAGAAGTTTTGAGGAAAACTTCTTCTGTGCTTTGTGGCCTGTGCCACGGATAGCGAACGGAAAGTAAGCAAGTAGTAGCTTACTTTTTGGCTTTGGCCTTAGCCTCGCCGTTTGGGTTCATGTTCTCCTTCTGCTGCTTCTGCGCGCGCACATACTCGGACACTGCGCGCAAGGCTGCGTTGGCGTCTTTGACCACGCCTTGCAGGTCCTTGTCCTTAGTGAACGGAAGACCAGTTGCGTCAACCGCCTTGCCCTTTGCGGCGCAGTCCAACAGCTTGGTCGCGGCAAGGATGTTCTGCTCCAAAGCACCCTGGGCCTTCTCCACTTGCTCCTTAGTTGCCTCCGGCAAGCCGTCCGCAGCAGTGCCCAGCTTGTGGATCTTCTCTGCGAGCTTCGCCTGCGCCGACTTCAAGGCGGGCAGCAGCTTGACGGCAGCGCTAGTAGCGACCTTGCGCTCAGCTTCATGTTTCTTCGCTTCCAAGCGCTGACGCTTGGCAGCTTCCCTCTCTTCGTCTGTCAGCCCTCGCTTGCCCTTGCTCTTCACTTCTTTCGGCTCCTCTGTCTCTGGCAAGTCCAGGACCGGGACGCCAACAGTGGGGGCAGCTCGTCTCCTCTGCAGCGCTTCACTCAGCCTCTGTGTAGTAGGTGTCGTCACTGGTGTGGTGCAGCTGAACCAAGTAGGTGTCGCCCAAAATGGCGTGCTTCTCACAGGGCGCACTTGCCTTAATGGCATCTACGTCATAGCCACGGAGCTCGTACCATGCCAAGGGCTGGTACGCGCCTCCGCGGCCATCCTGCTGGACACGCTTGGTTTCAGTAACCATGCTTTGTTTCAGCAAAGCACGCGCTGAAGCAAAACTCAGTCTGTTCTCCGTAGCTTGACGGCGTTCCTCAGACGCTGCGCTGAAAAACTCGACCAGCGAGTCTTCACTCAACAGTGTCTGGAGGGAAAGACCCTTTCGTTGAAACTGGACTGACAGGGCGTGACACGCCTTACAGCACCAGCGAAAGCTCTCGCGGTTACGAGGCCTTTCAATGCAGTCCGCCTTCGGAACTTCAGACTTGCACTTGGCGCAGTTGACTTGCGCCTCGTCTGCCACGGCCCCAGCTTCCACGTGTGAGCTCGCAGGTTCCACGTGTGAGCTTGCTTGTGAGCCTTCCTCTGCCTTCTGAACAAGGACGGAGCTCTCAGTAGCCATCTCCATAACTTTCACTTCCGTCGCTGGCAAACAGTGAGACAGTGAGAACCCAAAAAACTGCGGAACACACACTACTCAGAATCCAAAAGTGATATAAGCAGTAGGAAACACATGCGTGTTTACACAAGCCGGTTCCTACCAAATTGTAAACACATATGCGTTTCCTACTTTTTCTGCAATAAAACATAGGAAACACAATGCGTTTCTTGATGTTGTTGCTTTAATAGTAGGAAACACATACGCGTTTACAACTACTGTCTTGTAATAAAAATGAGGAAACACATGGTATGCTAAACTAGGAAACACAAAGAAACACGAAGAAACACATCTTAAACACATACGTGTTTCTTACGATTTTCCCCCTAAACTTGGAAACACATACGTGTTTACATTTGTTCGGGTTGTTTATTCATATATAGATTCTGTATGTTTTTTTGTTTCGAGTCTGAGTGTGCTAGACTTCCTCTTTCCCTGAGCCCCTGTGAGTCCCAACGCCCTTTTTTGCTCGCAAGTTCTTGCAGTGCGGTAAAAAGTTTTACTGGCCAGACCGCAGTCCCTCACGGATCGCCGTGGCGAGCAAACCACTGACGAACCTCTGGCGCTGCTCGTCAACGTCAGCAGCTTGGGAGGGAGCAGGCGCAGCAGACTGCACAGGCTGCACTTGCTTCACCGCCCCTGCTCCTGCCTTGGCCTTGGGAGCCCTGCCAGAGGAAGCAGGCTTGACAGAGGCAGCAGGCTTGTGCTTGCCAGAGGCAGCAGCCCTGCCAGAGGTAGCCGTTTGGGCAGCAGGCTTGCCCGGGTCAGTCCCACAGCGAGAAGATTCTTCTTCCTCGCTTTCCTCCTCCTGAGTAGAGGACTTCTCGCTCTCCTCTTCCTCCTTCACAACTTGGGGGGCAAGCGGTTTGGCCTGCCCTTCCTCAGAGCGGCGAGGTTCGGGCCGACGATCCCCTGCGCCACGTCCATCGCGCGCACGCGATGGATACTTCTCCAAGGCTTTATCCAGCCGAGACTCAAGCTCCCTCTGGCGCTCCGAGTCTGCTCGCCGGCTGCGATGGCTGCGGCGATGTCTTCGCCGGCTGCGAGAACGAGACCTGTGGCGTCGCTCTCGCCGCTGGTCTCTTTCATCACGATCACGCGGCGGCGAACCCTCGGGCTCAGGCACAGAACCCGCAGGTTCCGGCGCAGAGACCTTCTCACGCAGGACTGGCGCCTGCCGAGGTGTCTCTGACCCGCGGGTCAGATACTCGTAGTTCTCCTGCTCCCGCCGGATGGCGTAGTCCGCCTTTTCCTGGGCAGTCTTCCAATCGTAGCCACGATTGTAGTAGGTGTAGCTCCGACAAAACTTCCCATTTCTGTGCTGGTCCCACGCGGCATGACTGCTGTTGATCCACCGCTTACAGTTGGAACACTGCGTGGAGTCATCATATATCCTCCACTTACGAGCAGCGCCAGCGCATGGGGTCCGACCTCTATTCCGTCCAGGCTCTTCTTCGTCGCGGTCCCTTTTGCGACCCTCCTGCTGCTCGTCCTTGTCCGCGGACTCAGCTTCTGGCTTTCTTTCTGGGCCCTTAGGCCGGTGGTCAGTGTGCGACGACGAAGACCGGCCACGATCTGCTGTCTCCTGCGAGCAGAGAAGAAGGAACACATGCGGAATAAAAATATATAAAGTGACTTATAAAAATTAAATATATATATATATATTATGAGAAAAGATATACATCTATAAATATAATAATAGATATATTATCTATTTTAGAAATCCCTCAGATATATTAACCAGCCACTATATATATATATATATATGAAACCAGTATCGGGTGGCCCACGGGCCACGATGATTCGACCAGGCTGCGCGCAACGACGAAGCGGCCCGCAGGCCAGCTACTGCGAAGCAGTTGGCAGCCACTCCGGAGCGGCCCGCAGGCCTGCCACCACAACGCGGCCCGCAGGCCAGCCACCACCAGACGGCCCGCAGGCCAGTCACTGCTACATGAGGCGCACAGAGGCGGCCCGCAGGCCAGCCACTGCCAAACGGCCCGCAGGCCAGCCACCACAAGACGGCCCGCAGGCCAGTCACTGCCATATGCGGCGCACATAGGCGGCCCGCAGGCCAGCCACTGCCAAGGCCAGTCTATATCATGCGGCCCGCAGGCCAGCACCAAAAAAACCTATTGACGTAGCGCGGCGCGTACGCCAGCTATATAAGTATATAAAACCAGGCAGCGACTTATACATATATATATATATGCCAAAAAAAAAATCCCAAACATGGATGCTATACCAAAAATACTCCCCCCCCTTTCAGAAATCCGGTCCTTCTCGGACCGACTCGTCATCGCAGCAACGCCCCTTAGCGACGGCCGCCGAGCACTAAACGGCTACGGAAAAAAAGCTGCGGTTCATGTTCAACTCTGCCAAACCCAAGTGAGTAAAAACAACCAGGGGATATAGCTATCTATATACTTATATTCCTATAGAGGTGGTTGAGAGGTGTGGTTCCTGAATCCCAAACGCTCCTTTTTTAACTGCAGTTACGCTCCCTAAAGTCACTGCAGTTCTAAAGCAGTCGAAGCATCTCTGACCACTCGTCGGATGATAGCAAGATCTTTCGACGGAAGTTCATCGTCGATGACATCCAGCACAGCAGCATCCAAGAGTCGCAGAAACGAAGTTCTGCGATGGTCAGGCAGAGCCTCACCTGGCACACCCCGCAGCTTCTCCACAATGTCACAAACGCTGTTTGCCAACGCTTGTCGACCTTTGTAGCCCACACCTCGGTCATCTGGACATGTGCGTTTTTGGCTTGGGCTGTCTTCAACGGTAAGAACTTCCGCCGCACGTTTTTTTTCATCCTCACGGCGTGACCACAGGGACGTCAGCGTCGGCATCACCAACTTCTCAGAGCCAGGCAAGTCAACCTTGACTCTATCTCCTGTCTCATTTTTCGTGTAGGAGAAGTACAGCTTACGCATTGCTAACTAAGTGGAGTGAAAGTCAGTAACTGATCCAAAATGGCTACGGAAGACATGTCAGAGTTTCAAGTTATTAATTGTATGGATGCAGTTCCCTAAATTAAGTTATTAGTGGGATGTTGATGTAATATAAGTGTACTTTTTTCAGCCAAAACTTACCATGGTCAGATGTGCCATAGTGTGTCTCCGTCGACACTCACCAAAAAAGGATATCCACCAGAGCCAATGTGCATCTCTCGACGCCAGCCAGGATATCAACGGATCCAGTCGGTGGCCAACTACTGCAATACCCGATATCCACGCTGCGTCCAGCAGCTCGGGCAACAACCCGGCGTGTGTCTGCAACGACTGCATCCCTCAGGACGCTGCCGCAACGCCTGCTGCCGAGTCACTGACTTCAAATCTCTTCCGCCAGCCGGCTTCGTAAGCGCGTCCCGGAAATTGCCCGCAGGCTTTTTCAACGCGCTCTGAGTGTTGCCCGCAGGTTTTTTGAGCACAGTCTTGATGTTGCAGCCCGGCTTCTTTGCCAAAGTCTTCGGACAGGCAGCTGGTCTCTTCGCAGCGGCCTTTCCCGCGGGACGGCCTCTCTTAGCCCCCTGTCCACTGGATTTGCCTGCTTCTGGCGCATCAGCGTCCGGCAAGTCCGGAAGCGTCGAACCATAATGCTCCTGAGAAAGAGCCATCACACAGCGGTCCAGTTCCTCCTGCGCTTGGTCAGCAACAGGTGCAGAAATCTCAGTCTGACTCTGCAAAGCCGGATCGCCTACTGATGCTGGTGCAACGCAAGCTGGCAACGCAGTTGCTGGTCGAGCAACCGCAGGACCAGTGGCAGGACCGCTTTCGGATGCCTTTGGCACTCCTTGCGACGGCTCTGTGTCCATCGACACAGGAACGCTTGGGGCTCCTTGCAACTGTGCTCTGTCCATCACGGCAGGAGCACTTGGAACTCCATGCGACTCTGCTCTGTTCATCAAGGCAGCCAAAGGCGTTTGGCGACTTGTCATTTGCGCTTGAGCATGCGCCATCGCCCTTTGCCCGGCTGGCAAAATCTCAAGACCCGGCACTTCAAACCCTCCACTAGAGCTGCGACTCATTGACGCAAAGGCGGCAGCAGTCTGCAGCGCCGCTTGTTGCGCGACAGCCGCCAAAGAACCTGAGCCATTCATCAGCATGTTTCCTCCAGCAGTAAGCTGGCGCGCCAGTGACACTTGCCGGTTCGTACTGCGACACGGCCACAGTGCAGCGGATGCGTAGATCGGCGGCAAGTCAACTGGCGGCTGAAATGCACCGCCAGGAAAAAAATGCTCTCTCATGGCCTCCGGAAGTTCAGCTACACTAGCAGGCAACGTCTGCAAGTAAGCTGTGAACACAGGCGCCGCAACCTGCCTCGCTCGTACAGTGTGTGCCTTCAGCACAGACTTCACTGTCTGCAATAATGCCTGCAGCCGAGCAGAGTCTTCGTCATTGTGCTGTCCAGAACAATGACTCACCACCGACGCAAGAGTCGTCATAGTTCTTTCTGAAGGATGGCGCAAACCCATGTCCACGAGATGGCGCGACAACACCTCAATCTTCTTCAGTTGGCGCTCTTCCGCCGATTGAAGCACGTTCCAATGTCCCTCACGGAGGAACTCCGGGAAACTCTTCCAATCCTGCATGGGCGCGCGTCCATCCGCGCCAGATGAGTCAGAGGCAGCCATTGCAGTTGACGCAGCAAATAAGACTGGCACAGTCACGCGGAAAACTAAAAAGCTGCGGATGCCGAAAAAACCTATCCAATCCGTTCCAACAAGCATCTTTCCATTCTGAACCAACGAAAAAGTTATCTTCCATAACTTTTTATAACTTATTTATATCTTATTTATATCTTACTCCGAAAAAAGTTATATCTATAGTTACAAATGCATATCTTAGATATAACTTCATACATAGATAAAGAAGATGTAACATATGTTCCCAAAGTTACAACTTATGTTGTCCAACATACAACTCAACTTACAAATCAGGGGCCTCACCTTGTAGGGTATATATTAATAGTTTATATATGGGTTGGTTACACAGATTAAGGTGTTTGGTAGGTATTAATCTAGGCCTAACTAATATGGTTAACTATTACTACCAATCTAGGCCTACTATATTATGGTATTAACCATATCTGGTTGGTGGTGTCAAACATGTTTTTCATATATGGTGAAATAATCCTTCCCAACTCATGAACTAATATGTTTCAGAGGGGTAGGTATACCACCAACCAGATATAGTAATGGTTTAAACATATAATAACCCAATGCTAATACATGGCATATCATAACTATTATATAACCATTATATATGGTTTAAAAGAACAACCGTTAACATAGGGTTCATTTAATTTATCATAGTAATCGGTTGATGGTAAACATTATATAGTTGATGGTAAACCATTGGTTCACGGCAAACACTGGTAATAGACCATTAGTAAGATATGTGTTTCAAATCAACAGCCATAAACCATTGCTAATACAACGAGAACCATAATCTATGAACCATTAGTAAAGAATGTGGTAAACCCAATTGATAGGATTTGTAGCAACCGCAAAACAGATAGAACATGTTAAATTTATTACTATCTCAGTTGGATTTTAATTCTCTATGTTGGTGGGGATGGCTGTACTAGGAAAATATGGTAATATCCGAAAATGAGACAGATTGGACAGACAATTATGATATCCCAAATTAACATAGACCTGGATAAAAATCATATACTGGTAGATTTTTTGAGGGAAGTAGTCTTCCAACTCCCCATGTAAGGTTCGGATGGTAAACTATTGTTTTCCAGCATTTACGGGCTTGGACATTGAAATTTAATGATGTTTTGCTTAAGAAGTGTTGCACACCTATGTCAATTTACTGGAGTATATGTTCAGATTTGAAAGTAGGGCAACCTGCAGCTGTTTCTGTTCATGTCTAGATTTTTGTAGTTCATTTCGTGTGTTCTTGCGGGCCGTATTTCACCAGAAAGTCGGAAACATTCCAAGACAATCTACAGATATCCATCAAAGATTTCAGAGCCCTGCAGGCCAGTCACAGTGATGTTTTTCTTCAATTTCCAACTCTTCCATAGTTATCCCATGTTATGTTTTGGGTGCCTGAGGTATGATTCGCCGAGAATGGAAGCTGGATCTTGAGCTTCTATGCCATCATGCAAAACCTTCACTCAATCCAAATCATAGTTCCCACCCACTCTCAGTGGATTTTTCTACCCGTCAGGTCCCCGCAATCCCAAGGTCCGTTGACTACCCGTCCTACTACGTGCAGCCCTTCCACGGCTATGACGAGGGCAACCTGAGCTGGAGGGCAGCGCACGAGTTGGAAGCCGCCACACAATCCATGTGTTTGGGATCCTTGTCGGAGTTTTACCACAAAAATGTGGATTTAACATGATTTAACATGACTCAACCTACAAAAAGTGGTGGATTTACTGACTTAAGACAACCTAGAAACCAAGATTGATGTTAATTACAGGGACTAAAACAGCCATCATATAGGGATGGGACGTGTGTTTGGCACGTAGATTTACTGTTGAAAAGGTCGATTCAAAAACAAAGGACATGAGAAAACTGGTTTTGCCTGATTCAAAAAACAATCATTGATTTGATGATTTGGGTGTGTCCTCAGAAATGATTTGACCGTTTAGTATTGCTAAAAATATCACATGGTGATGCCATGATATCAGCAGATTTTGAGCCATTCCCAGGCGAAAAAGAAGGGGTCCCCGAAGATCCTGGACTAGATAGGAGAGGAATGTATAGAACTGGTTGGGTACCCTCTGGTTATTTAACATAGCCATGGAAAATGGCCCATAGAAATAGATGGTTTACCTATAAAAAAATGGTGATTTTCCATGGAGGGTATATAAACAATTTAAATAGCACGGATCTTATACTGATAGCATGGATCAAACAGTTTATGACATCACATGCGTTTCAAAATACTTTGTGCCTCTGTGTCTGCTTGTGCCAGCGATCTTTTTGGTTTGCAGGATTTCATCCGCTGCCATGATGGCACGCCGAAGTTCCGACGGCCAGTGTTGGCCATTGTCGGAGGAACGAGATTAGGGAAGTCCATGCGAGCAGCTCACATCTTGCGACAAATTGGGGAGAAGTTGGGAGTGTCAGAGTTTTTGGATGACGGTTGAAGATTCGGAGCACATGGATTTTGCTGACTTTGACCACCGCTTGCTGGAGTGCTTCTGGATGGAGGTGGAGACGCTATGTTTTTGAAGAGAAATCGCGAGGCGCTACAGGGCAGGCCAAAACTGGTAAAAGGCGCAAAGTCTGCAACTAATATGTACTCCTACGCTTACACCCTTTGTGGTCGCGCAGTGGTCGCGACATTTGATCTCTCGGCCGTAAACTTGGACCAGCTAAAGAAAGACCATTGGTTTCAGAACCGCCAGCATGTAATGCTGCTGGAATTGGAGGAGCAAGCATTTCTGTCAGTTGAACCAGCTCTTCAAGGGTGGCATTGTAACACTGATTAATACGGATGTTTAACTAACGGAAAAAGACAGTTTTACCTTAATTTTCTTGCTTCTATTCCATCCAAAATAGAATCCCTTATGGGATTATATGGGTTATATATGGGTTATATATATATATAGATGGAATATTCCGCTGAAAGATCTATCTGGCCCTCATTTCACGCTGGATTTCGTTGGGAAATTTCATCGCAATCGCAAGTGCAATCCGGGTTTGGGTCAAACCATTCCGACGATGTGGTCATTTTGATGACCCTAAGCCATCCATTTTTTCCGGTGAAAATGATTATGATTTTGACCCAAGGTTGGTACCCTCTGGTAAACATACAAAAAACTATGGAAAATCACCATAGCTATAGCTGGGAAAATCCACTATTTCGAATGGGCCATTTTCAAGTTCGCAAAGTGTAACAGTCATTACCAGAGGGAAACTTGGACTATTTCAGACATTGCAAGTGATCCACCCCGGAAAATATGGGAATTCATCTGGGTTTCTTTTTCATCTGGGTTTCCTCTGGGAAAATCTAGTATATATATATTGTGATTTTTCATAGTGGTTGTTGTCATATTCACTCATTGTAAAAATCTTTCAAACTTCAATATTCTCTACGCTTACATGATTGACTTAAGTGGGTCAAGTCCATGAAGTCCACGAGTCCAGTGGATTGACATCTGCAAATCACTGTCATTTAAACACGTGACAAAACTTACTGATGCTTAATAGGGAATGGATGGGACTGGGGGAATGGGATGATTATTTCTAGTGATTATGGATCATTCCTTCATTCCCTACTAAGCACCAGTAAGAAAAACACGTCCCAAATCCCAGTTGCCAAGAATTTCACACCACTTTAGTTTCGGTGGCTGGATCACATTCGACGAACCTAGGATATTACGATGGCATGACTTGGTGTCTCGTCTCCAGCGCAGGGTCGTTTGTGAAGTCGACTTGGGAATTCCCAAGTCGCCTTGTCGGTTTCAATACTAAGTCATGGTCATCCATGACACGAATGATTTGGGGGTACCCCCATGACTTTGGACACCTTCATTTGCTGATGGTGAAACGACAAAGATCTTCATTTCGTGTTTGAATTGGTGAATTTCTATTTGTTTATTGTCATTGAATGCCATTGCTGAATGCCAATGCTGAATGCCAATGCTGCATGTTTGATACTGTATGGTTTCAACTGGAAGAATCGTCTGTTTTTTGGGGGAATACATATTGGAACGGGATTGATTGGGATTATAAGTTCAATAAACCAAGGCACAACTGAAAGGATCTACCCTCTGGTAAACTAACATAGCTATTGAAAATGGCCATAGAAAATAGTTGATTTACCCAGCTATAAAATGGTGATTTTCCATAGTTTTTTGTATGTTTACCAGAGGGTACATGGTAGAATGATTTGTATAGAGATGAACTCCAACGCTCGGCGGATTTCTGGAATCCCACCGCGAACCGTTCGCCTTGGAAGGGGATTACAAGCCGTTCGTTAGAACGGGACTATCACTACATGGCCTACTTCCAAGTGGGGTTATAATAACCAAAGTGATTAATCAACTTGCTTGCCTGCTTACTGACTTACTGTCTTGCTGATTTGCTTATTTATTTACTTACTTGCTTGCTTACTTACTTGCTTACGTACCAACTGATTAACTTACTAACCTGCTAACTTACTAACCTACTAACTTACAAAGGTACTAACTTAAAAAGTTACGAATTTGCAAAGTTACTAACTTACTAGTCGAACGAACTAACCAACCTAACAAGCTAACATAACAGACTAATGACTGCGGTGAACCAGCACGTGCTCTGCTCCATGGTGGAGCCTCCCGTCGCCACACATGCGAGGCAAGATGCGCAGGAAGAGTTTCGGGGGGCAGCACGCAACAGCATTCGAGACTACTGGCAAGGCCAGCTGGGGGCACTGGATGACTACTTTCGCAAAAATTGGGTGCCACAATTGGAGGCATCCTAAGTCACGGGCTAGCCCGAATCATACAAGTCATGGATGACCATGACTCAGTATTGAACCCCATGGTGACTTGAGGATCCACCATGTTTAACAGCACCAAATGGGCATGTTTACTAACCAGTTGTTCCCCACCTGCCAGGTGAGGTTCTCTAGATTTTAAAAAAGGTGCAACTCCTTCCTCTTCCTTCCTCTTCCTTCTTCGTGCCTCTATGTCTCCATCTCTGCCACCTCGTCACTACTGTGCATCGCGAGTTCTGGAGGCAGCTGGGCACACCTGACCCAAACCCTATCGCAAGCTCTGGATGCAGTGGAGCCCGCCTGGACCCGAACAGAGGCCAGAAAGTAGAATGCCAGACAGACTGCCAGAAAGAATGCCAGATAGAATGTCAGAAGATAATATATGTCAGAAATAGTGTCAGAATATATGCTTGAATATATGTCAAAATAGATGCAAGATAGAATGCCAGAAAGAATGTCACATAGAATGTCGGAATATATGTCAGAAAAAAATGTCAGAACATGTTTCAGAGTATATGCCAGAAATATTGTCAGATAGAATGCCGAATAAATAAATATATATATATTATAGTATAGTATAGTATAGTATATTATATTATATTATACTATATTATTATATATATATATATTATAATTTGTATATATCAATATATACATATATACTATTTAAATAGTTGTATATAGGGAATTGCTGGAAGTAAGGTATCTTTTTTGGCACTTGGAACTCTCTGGACTTCGATCAAGTTGTCCCCCTGAAACTCATGGTAGCCTCTGGCGATGACTGTTACAGTTTGCGAACTTGAAAATGGCCCAGTCGAAATAGTGAGTTTTCCCAGCTATAAAATGGTGATTTTCCATAGTTATGATTGTTAGTTTACCAGAGGGTCACTTGAAAGTATTAGGCAATCTTCACATCCCTACAAAGAATCAAAATTGCCATGCAATGCGGTTCCCTTCAATGGTTTCTAAAACCCGCAGTAACATCCCGTAACATCCCGTAACATCCCGCAACCCCTACTGATGTTAGTTATAAATCAATTGCACCTCTTGGATCATCTTGGTTAATTTGCGTTTGCCCAGTTTGGTTTCCTCACTTCGTCTCACTGGTTTGTTAGGAACTGGTTGATGTTCCTATGATATCTCAGACACGGTTTTGTGGGGATTGATTGGGTTGCCATGCATGACGAAATGAATACTATACATATATATATAATATAGAATAGATAGATAGATAAATAGATAGATAGGTAGATAGATAGATAGATGGATAGATAGACAGACAGACAGACAGACAGATAGATAGATAGATGATTATATATAGATGTTTATCTCTTGATTGGCGTATGGATTGGGAGATATTGGGAGGTGTCACATTGTGTGACCAACGGTGGGACAAACGAGAGCAGGGAACCACTGGCTCACCATTAGAGAGGTTCCTAAAAGCCCGCCACCTCAATGGACAAATTTTGTATGGCCATTTATGGCCGTTTATGGCAGGTTTACCACAGGCTCCAAACGAAAGAGTGTATATAAAGCACCTCAATATAGCAGTGGTGCTAGACGCCCCAAGTTCCATTAATAAAGATCTACCAGACCCCATACAATGTGGTGCTCCCAGTGGTCGGTTTATAACCCCATCTAGCCCTTGATGTCACTTATCACCCATGAATCCAACACTTAGCCTAATAGGCACTCTGCTAGAGTGGCTCAGTGGCTGAGTGCCTGTTTCGACTTCTCGTACCGTGCTCCTCATCCACTCCCTATAATTATAAACCAATTTAGTCCCAAACTGGGCCCATGTAGTTGTCTTCAAAGTTGGGGAAACCCCAACTATACTTCCATATGTCCATATGCTCCATGTATGGAATATTTATCAACTTCAAAATCACACAGTTTTGTAGATAAATATACCATACATAGAGCATCTGGGATATGTCCATATGTTTGTTCGTATCAAACCACCATGTTGATCCCATTTTTGTGGCGAAATCCTAGCCATGACCTTGGCAGGCCACGGAGCCAGCGCCGAGCCGCAAAGTCTTTTGGACGTGGGCTGCAGTGGCGGCTACTCGAGCCAGGAAACATCCGCGATGGCAGAGATTCTGATGCAAAAATAGGGAAACATGTCAGGAAAACCGTGGGTTTCAACAACCAAATCAACCCAAAGGTGTTTACGGTCATACAAAGTGGTGTAGAACTAGTATAATTATAATTTTTGGGGAGTATATCTAGGGTTAGATAGGGTCTCAAAACCGACTTAATGTTCAAAAAACTGGTTGGCTTGAGGGTTTTACCGACTCCAATAAATAACAATGGGTGCGACAAACAATTCTATGATGTGGCAATCTTCAGCTTGAATTGTTCGATGGTTTTGAGTTTTGGGCAGAAGAACTTCCAACACCGGAAAAAATGATGAACCAAACACGTCGATGTTAAACGATCACGTGGGGCTGCACATCCAGTAGTTCACCGACTACAACTTGGGGTTAACTAACCATATCTAGTTATGTTTAACAACTCTAAACACCAGGAAACATAGGAACCCTTGTCCTAGTAAGAACCTAAAACAACAATTAGGGGTGAAGCAAGGTGAAACGACAAAGATGCTGCCTTCAACCAACCCAAAATGGAGAGTTGTAACCCATCGAAACTGGATGTTATCCAACCATTTGGATTTGCTAGTTAATCAGCAACCAACTAAATCTGTTGAATCTAGAAATTGGGTATTTTTTCACCAACTTTGCTAGTTACCCTCTGGTAATTTAAAGTAGCTATTGGAAATGGCCATAGAAAATAGTTGATTTACCCAGCTATAAAATGGTGATTTTCCATAGTTTGCTGTATGTTTACCAGAGGTTAAATCCATATTTTCCAATATTTTCCATATTTACCGGAGGTTAAATCCATATGTTCCACTAAAAATGGTGATTTTCCCAGATTTTCCATAGTTTTTTTGTATGTTTACCAGAGGGTCATCGTTTTTTCCACCAACCAGGAACTGGGGTTTAACCAACCAAACCCCGAAGGATGACCCGATGACCCACACAGACGCACAGGGATGGGACGGGCTGTGACACCCCGTGTTTCAAAATGTGGTTAAGAGGCAAACATACATAGAGAAATATATCACACACACACATATATATATATGTATATTTATATGCATAGTATGATGGTGATGATGATGATGATGTTGATTTTGTTGATGATCATGATGATTTTGATGATTGTCATGGGATATCATGATCATTTCCATCAGTATCATCGTCACCACCACCACCACCACCACCACCAGCACCACCAGCACCAGCACCAGCACCAGCACCACCACCACCACCACCACCACCACCACCACCACCATTTTTTAATCATCATCACCACCACCACCACCACCACCATTTTTACATCATCACCACCACCACCACCATCATCATCATCACCATCATTATCTTCATTATCATCATTTCACCATTTTCATTTTTACTTTCATAATCATTATCATCAATATCATCATTATTAGTGTCACCAATGTCATTAAATAGATAAAAGCACATGTATGTCTATATATAGCTGGCTGGCGGTTTGTCACCTCCAAATATTGGGAATTTTAATCCCAACTGACTAGTGTGTTTCAGAGGGGTTGAAACCACCAACCAGATGATATTATATAATGTTTATATTTTATATAATATGATATTAACCATGAACAATAGAGAGTGAACCACAAAAAATGGTGATTTAACATGGAATTATATACAAAAACTTTCCTTCGCCCCCAGGAGATGTCCAAAGCCTTTCCTTCCGCAAGCGTCACAGGAGCGGGGTTTTATCTTGAGCGATGGCGAGCGTTGGCGCACGATTGTGTATGCGAGATAGGGCAACAATACTTTGGGGCAATGTTGGATTTAACTTTATGGTTTGTTTGGAAGATGTTGATGTTCTTTTGTTTTTGGCGTTGTTTTGATTTGTTTAATGAAATCTGTTGCAGGAAACCACCAGGAGGCACGTTTTATGGAATATCACCGACCACTCAGAGGGAAGGTCATCAACACAATGGGTACTGTATCATTGATGGGGGATGAATGAACCAGTCAAAGCACTTACCATTTTGGGGGTTTCCACTTCATCAGTGGCTGCACGCCTATAAATAATTAAACCATGTCCCAACTTATGGCGGTCATGATATGTCACAATCATCGTTGTGTAAGTGCAACTGCACCACTAGTATGGGGATGATTTTGGTTGTTATGCCAAATTGTTTCGGGTAGTATAGACTTTGGGTCAAATATGTTGATGTTAAACAACCTGATTCAGATGTTCCAAGAACTTCCTGTTGTTAATCAGAATAATGGATATCTAACACTGGTCTAGCATTATGCGGATAAATTTAGATTGGTCCAACAACAAATAGGCTATAGGGAACACCCAACTCAGTTTCAATGGCACGGATGCGGGCAAACAGCGATCAACCAAGATCTTGGGGTTTTCAATGCCATAAACCACCCGTGTCGTCGGATGATTTCTGCGGCTCAAGATGATGGATCAAATTGTCACGATGTCACCAAACAAATTCAGGGTACAAACTTAAGGTGCGTCTACCCTTTGGTTATTTAACATAGCCATGGAAAATGGCCTATTTATAGATGATTTTCCCATTAAAACCTCCATTTATAAGGGATTTTCCATCGCTATGTTAAATAACCAGATGGTAAGGTTCTTGTTTGCTATCGTGCGTCTATTTTGTTGGCATTCCATATCCCAAGGTGCCATCTAAGTTCAGCCAGCCCGCAGGATTGGATTTGAGCCCCTACTTTCTGTAGCTGGGCAATCGCTGTAGAACCTTCAAAAAGTCAATATATCTCAAGTTGATGACTTAGTTCAAAAGCCAGATCAACCAAGCAATGTTTGATAGTAACATGTCGTAACTTCATGTGTATAATATGCATATATACGTATATACATATATATACATATTAATATACATACTGTATATACATGCACTGCATAATGTTTTTAAATTATCTGTATTAATGCTGTTTCTGCATGTTTTTGAAAACAAACAGTTTCCACACTCAGGGTTTACAACCCTGAATGCAACGCCAAACTGGTCACTAATGGTTGATAAACCAAGTAGTACAACCCTTATAAAGAAAATATACCCGCAGGCAATTTAACTTAGTTTTGGAAAAGGCTTCATTTTTAGATGATGTACCTTAAAAAAAGAATTCTTTTGTCGTCCCTACTGACACTGTGGGCTTGATGGCCTTCCAACAATTTCAACTTGGACATTTTGATACATTTTGTGTCTGAAGGCTTTGGGTCGTATTCAGCAACTTGAAAAGGGTTACAGAAAGCTTGGAGACGCAGCCCAAAAAGCTGCAATGAGGCAAACACAGAGAGAGTTATGGCATAGCGGGCCATGGAACGGAACAGAACAGTTCATGATTCATCGAACAAATCATTATTTCACATGTTGATTGGAGTGGTAGCGAATGCTATAGGTGTTCGAAGCGGGACCAGGGGGCGCTGCCCCAATGTATACCACCTGGATCAGCTGTGTTAATGAACCAGAGGGCATCATGTAACCCTTATGTGAACCATGGTGCTGGAATATTTACCAACATTTTGCCCGAACATCACCCAGTTTTGTAGGTAAATATACCACCATGGAGCATATGGGTATGCTACCCTGGATAAACATAGGAGAATCGTCGACAAAAATTGCTTGATTTTCCTGTGAAATCACCAGAGGCTCTCCATCCCCATTACTTCCACATGTGTTTGCTAAGTAGAATTGTTTTCCCCCAGGTAACAATGATTTGTGGAGAAACCCAAATGGAGTATAATTCTTAGTTGGTTGCACCATGTTAAACCCCAGGCAACCAATGAGTTTTTTTTGGGCTTAAACCTCACGAGGTCCGTCGCGCAGCAGAACTTTCCGCAGCTGCGCTTCGTCCACGCCAATGCCGAAGACACGGGTCCGGGAATATGTCTTTCGAACGTGGGGAGAATGGTTTGACTTAACATGGTGCTGTTTACCAACCGAAATATGGAACATACAGAACATATATGGAAAATTGTGAATTAATGTGATATAATCACTTGAGATGGTGCTTTTAACCAACCAAAAGGGATTTAAGCATCAAACATTTAGTGATTTAGACTTACAGCCGACTTAGGCAGCCAATAAACATAGGGATTCACCATCAAAAATGGTGATAGAAGCTACAACACTGGGGATTTAAATTTCTTGTGGAACAAACCTTGCAATAAATTTCCACAAGCTAAGGGTAATCTCCCTATCGGGGACTCTGGTTGAATCGATCCAATACAGCATACCATTTCTGGGTTTCTGGGCAGGTGTTTATCGTAGGAAGGGGCTAACCAAGAGTTCCAGATGCAGCAATAGTTTTGACGGTAAACACCTACTGTTTGTTACCCAAACTCCCATGTTGCTGGTCAACCAACCTATTGCCGGTTTGCTCAGATGTTTTGGAAAGTAACGGATAACCGTTAACGACTGTTGATGCTGCCCTGCAGGTCTCCCCAGCAACTCGTACGACATGGTGACGCTGAATTTTTTGCTACACGAACTGCCATTGGAAGCGACAAGGCTGTGGGAATATGCAGGGCATGCAGTTGGGCCCGTGTGTTTGCTCCTACCACTGTGGTTGAAGGGTCCATACCTGTTATGATAGACAAGTATATGAATAGTATATTTTGTATATGCGGTATTTCTGCACCAGGTATTACTGTATATCATTCATAACCCCCAATTACCCTCTGGTTATTTAACATAGCCATGGAAAATGGCCCATAGAAATAGATGGTTTACCTATTAAAAATTGTGATTTTCCATGGCAAACTGTTAGTCATAACCAGATGGTATCTCCAATTGTTGGTGAAATATCATCAGTTAAACCACCATTTTTGATGGTTAAACCACCATTTTTGATGGTTAAACCATGTTAAACCACCATTTTTGAATAGATTTTCCCTTGTATAAAACCATCGGCTCCGCGCACTTGAGCTCCGCCGCAGGAACGTCTTGAGCGAAGCCTTGCGTCTGTTGAAACCCGGCGGTGTCACTCGGCATGGCGCTGTGATGGGGAAGCAAGTTTGGTGATGAGTTCATTCTTCATGTAGTGTTCAATTCCGGATTAATAAACAATGGTTTATGAATTGTGGGGGTACCCTCCAAATAGTCACAATATGATACTTAAATGGGATCCCCCCAATTAAACAACCTAGGGGTTTATTAATGCAGGGTTGACTTAGTGTTCAACACGATGAATTCTTAGCTAAGTGCGTTTTATGACTTTGATTACACATTGATGCGGTACATCTTTCAGAACCTATTTGCTCGAATCTCTTGTGATAAATTGGTTGGAAAAACAGCCCTATATTGGATCTTCAAGATGTTCATCGATTTTCAGAACCAATACACTATAATATATTCATATGTAGCATATCAGGTTGGTGGTTTGGACCATGTTTATTTTTCCATATATTGGGAATGTCATAATCCCAACTGACGAACTCATATTTTTTCAGAGGGGTAGGTATACCACCAACCAGATATATATGTATTATCGCATATTATCAGCCCTATATTATTTTCAGCCCTATATCTCATATTATTTCAAAAAAATAAAAAATACCAGCGGTCGAAGATAATCATACATATGAGATTCAACAATATGTTCATATAATATTTCAAATAATATGTATCATCTCTTCAACAAAAAATCATGAGATATATATCATACATATTATTTGTTGAAGATAAGATATATGAGTATACATACCATGATATATATATATATTATCTTCAACATCATATTCAAGATATATAATATTTCAGACCGGCCTTGTTGTTTTTTTGCGTCCAAGAGGTGCTGGCCGTGCTGGACGTGGATCCCCAACGCCTGGCGGCGCTGCCGCCCTTCCGGCGCTGGGCCTTTCAGGTGACGGAGCCCTGGTGCAAGGAGGGTGCCTTGGCACCGAAAATCCTTTAATTTGATATGATATGAGTTTTAGTATTTGATATGATTTTTAGTATTTGATATGATTTTTTACTATTTGATTTTTTTTTAGTATTTGGTATGATTGTAGTATTTGATGTGATTTTTAGTCTTTGATATGATTTTTAGTATTTGATATGATTTTTTGTAATTGATATGATTTTTAGTATTTGATATGATTTTTAGTAATTGATTTGATTTTTAGTATTTGACATGATTTTTTACTAATTGATTTTTTTAATATTTGATATGATTGTAGTATTTGATGTGATTTTTAGTATTTGATATGATTTTTAGTAATTGATATGATTTTTAGTATTTGATATGATTTTGAGTATTTGATATGATTTTTAGTATTTGATATGATTTTTAGTAATTGATGTGATTTTTAGTATTTGATATGATTTTTAGTAATTGATATGATTTTAGTATTTGATATGATTTTACTATTTGATATGATCTTAGTATTTGATATGATCTTAGTATTTGATACGGTATGATATGATTTTTTTTGTATATGATATGAGCTTAATATTTGATATGGGATGATTTTTCATGTTCATGGGATAATAATGTGATAATAATGGGAGAATAATCCTTTAATGGGATTGTTTATAAATGAAAGGATATTCATGATGGTATTATGAATGTAGTATATTTATATAAAGGTTTTGGAAATCTGGAATTATTTTGATGTTCATAGGATTATATTATTGATATCTAAAATATTTTTTGAATGTTCATGGGGTACTCATGTGATAATAATGGGATAATAATCCTCTAATGGAGAATTCATTAGATGTTAATAGTCATGATGTTATTATATGATGTGATCTTAGCATATTATATGATATTTTTTCCGGATATTCATGGGATTATAGTATGATATTAACAGTAGATGAATATTTTGATTTGCATATAGTTTCTTAAATGATATTTATCTGTATATAGTTTCTTAGATGACATCCGAACTCGGGATTCTTTCGATATAGAGATTATAGTTTGAATTTGTAGATAGTGAGGGGGTTAATTAATCTCTATATATGTTCTAATATGACCGTGATATCAATGATATCCATGCATGGGAGAATAATGGGATAACAATTCTTTACTGGGATGGTTTGGTGGAATATGGTTAAAAAGAGGGTTCCCAATGGGATCAATAATAATAACAATGGGATAACAATGATGTTGATTGGATAACAATCGGATCAAAATCCTTATAATCCTCTAATGGGATGAGTTATAATATGTTATAATGATATTTCATGGCTGTATAATGGGACCTATGGTAACTGCACTAATTAGTTGGGATGCCTGACTAGGGATTCATATGAACAATTGTAAATCATGGGAGTTTTTCATGGCTTGAATCCAACAATTGGTGCATAGCCACGAGCGGCACTCATTGACTCCGGGAATCAAACATGGCGAGCTGGATAACTTGGCACAGGATAATGCATAATGATTGATAACCCTTAGTATGTGGAACGAAATATAGCCAACATATTACAAAATATATATATATAAATAATATCATGAATCCATTATTATTATTATGGAAGTTGCCACAATTATAGAACGGAAGTTGAGGAGTATGAAAGTTCGGTTGTTTACCGTACCCTGTTGTTCCATAATTCCTGTTTCCTCAGAACGTTGGGAAAAAACTTATATACTCTCGACTTATTCAAAACTTTTTTGTCGTTCTATAATTTAGATTCTATAATTCTTGTTTGTGTCCCATAATTGTGTTTTCCTCCATATTTCTCACATTTACCAATTCTGTTCTATAATTGCATGTTGTTTGCGTGTTCTATGATAAATTTTGCAATAATTCCGTTCTATAATTCTCGTTTCTATGGACATGCTTCTGGGGTCCCAGATGAGATACATAAAATGATATAAATACATGTAAGTAACCTCCAAGACTCACACAATCTGCGTGTTGCCGGTGGTTTCAATGGGAATTTGAGGAACACAAATGAATTATAGAACAGCCAAAAATTCTATAATTATAGAACAGGATCCGAATCCACGCGGAATCGGGATCCGGAGGAGTACGAAAGTACGGTATTTTCCCGTACTGCTGTACTCCTAATTCCATTCTATAATTGCGGCAACTCCTGTAAGGCCTTAGTTGTATTACTCCATTTGTTTAATGCCTTAGCTATCCTGTTGGTCTATGAAACGCCATTTTTTGAGGATATATAATCAGTGTTGATTAATGACTACTAATGATAAAAACATTGAGAACAAATGTGATGTGCATACTTTGTGTATAAAAAAGGCTCCATCATCTCACATCCCCGAATATGAATCATATATTGAACGGATTATCAATGGGGCAAGAGTGGGACAATAGTGGATTATGATGGAACAAACTAGAACTACTATATCACAGATCATCCCATCCCCCATTCATATGAGTTACGCACCAAAAAACTTGGTTTTTTAACGGTTGGGGATGGCATTGCATATATGAGACAGTTACCCTCTGGTAATTCAACATAGCTATTGAAAATGGCCATTTATAGTGAGTTTTCCCATGAAAAATGGTGATTTTCCATAGTTATGTTAGTTTACCAGAGGGTAACCATGTTTTTTTTAATGAACATGGGATGGGATTAATCAGGTATTATACGGTATTATTCTGCCGGGTGTCTGGATATTAAATTGATCATTCAACGATTAGCAATCATGTTCTATAGATAGGATACGCAACCCAACACAAAACTAACATGCCACCAACACTCGTCCATCATATTATGGGGAATATATGGGAACATGTTGATATAACCAACAATTATAGGATATGACCAGCCATTAACGGGATAGTATGGAATAGAAACCCACTAAAACATGTACACAAACCGACAAACCGGGCAGTATTGGGGGAATAATTCCCCGGTAGCCGAAACGGATTCAGCAATCATTGGATCAAAGGAAGAGCAGATTGTGCAAGTTCCCAGCATTGCTACGGTGATTGTCATTGCTTTACCACGCCGAAGGGTGAAGAGCACAACACCCCATCCACCTGGGAAAGAGATCTGAGCTGAGACATTCCCATTGAGTCTTGCTGTCCTGAACGCGCAACCAAGCATTAGGCGATATCACGCGTTAGGACGCTAGGAGACTTTGTCCAAGCGGCAGTTGCTTACAGCGTGCCGTACTGGCAGAGGTGACCGTTTGGGATATCAGTGATATATCAGTGATATCAGCATCAATAAATGGTGGTTCAACTGAAGTAGCGGGATGCCTGACCCTGAGCATCACCCAAATTTTCAGAGGAACGGATTGTCTTCCAACCACCTGAATTTGGCAAGGTCTAGGTTAGTTGGAGGGAAGGTAATATGAATTTGTAATTCCAATGTTTAGGGGGATCATAGTGTTTTACCAACATTAATATGGATCTGCTCATGGAAATTTAGTAAAAATCAATTGTTACCTGTGGTTTATGAGTAAATATGTGAACACATGCTGGATGTTTCACCCTGATCATTTATGATAATCTTACATGAATGTTTTTTTTTGGTGTTCTCATGGGATATTTCAATGGGATTCCACGTGGTTCATATTAAACAAGGCACTTCTTTACCGGGTGCCTTTGTGCGCCGAGGTGAATATTTCTCGTTGGACTTGGCCCAGGAACTTCGTGGACTTGGTTTCGAGGCTCGGTGGTTTCGGTGGCGGATGGGCTGGGCGGATGGGATGATGGGATACGTTAACTTCAATTCTTATTACCCTCTGGTAAACAAAGCTATTGAAAATGGCCATTTATAGTGAGTTGTCCCATTAAAAATGGTGATTTTCCATAGTTATGTTAGTTTACCAGAGGGTAATGTGGTTAAACCAATAATAATAAACTCCCCATTTGGGAATGGTTTATACCACCTGCTAGGTGGTTTGGAACATGAATTTGGCATGTTTCCATTCAGTTGGGAATGTCATCATCCCAACTGAAGAACTCCATCGTTTTTCAGAGGGGTAGGGCGAAAAACCACCAACCAGGGATTTATATGGATGGTTAATGCGGTTAATGGATGGTGATCCCCAGACATATGGTGATTTTGGCCCATCCCTGGTCCAGTGGTGTTTTTTCAGAATCGGTTTTGTGGATTGTTGTGTATGTTGGCAAAGCGGGGTGCCCCTCATGAAATTAATCCCATGTTTAAATTGCAAGAAATAATTTGCATGGCATACTCTCGTCACAAAAAAATATTCTGGTATATTTAAGCATGGTATACATATCATCATATCCCTAAACATCACTTGAGATTGGGCGTGTATATATATATACATAGACATATATTGTTTATGACTGGCATGGATCATGAGTTCATTTTCAAGAAGTTTTGTCCTCACCATTTCTGAACTGAACTGTGGCCATATGTTCAACTGTTGATGAGCCATTTTCAACTGGATGTACATCACAGTTAGTAATGGAAGTGGTGAACATAGCCATAGAAATGATACTTAAAATACTGTATAATTCCAACTGGGGATATTCCATTCATCAAAGTGGCTAATGTCGTTTGTTGTTTGTTTTATTGACCACTTACGAAGTATTGTTGGTTAATAATATGGTTTGTTTGCATCTATCCCCTTTATATAATTTTAACATCCATTTTTTTAATAATCATGATTATATCAGATTATAGGGGCCCCAAAAAAGATGCTGAAAAATAAAACATCTATCCAGGATGTGAAAAGGTGATGTTTCCCGTATAATTTCCAGTTTTCCAACTGTTCTGTGTCTGGGGTTATACGGATTTGCCAGATCATCCAGTATAGGTTGAGTTTTTAGCAGGGGCTCAACAACCCCTCGCCGCCGAGCTGAGCAAAGTGTGCCAGGAGACAACTCAAAGCAGCAACGACCCCGTGAACACCTTGACTTTGGCTCGAAAGAGGCTGACAGTGAAGCAATCCACACAAAATCCAGTAGAATTTTAAAGCAGAAGTGAGGGTTTAACAAAATGACAAAAAAAAATGACAAATATGTTTTTTCAGCCAATGGTGGTTAGGATTTAGCATTGAACAGTGGCTTTGATCAACAAAGTTACAAATAGAGAAGCCTGAGCCGGTTCTGAGTGGGTTTTGGCTTAACAGGACACCCCTTTTCAGACATCATGAATAGCCTGTAGTGGGCCGTGTTGAAAGAATCGTAGTCGTAATGACGTCGTAGTGAACATCCTTTGTTAGTATCAGGGTTGGCCTATTTAAGTGTGGGTATTTTTGAGAGTGGTTCTACAATGGAATCTTGAGAAACTGTATTGGTAAATTCACAAGATTTGACAGTTTACTTTCGCTGGATAATCTTTGTAAGAACCCAGAAGATAATTGCTCTTCCGAAACGACGACCTTGTCCGAAGCTACTGTAGTTTGGTGTCAAGAAGTTTTATGATTATGTATTCCTAGTTGGGGTGATTCAAAATTACTCCCAAATGAGTGGCGAATAGGATGGCATGGATCCCACATTGCTTCAGGACGAACATTGCCTTTGGAGGTGAATCCCACCTTTTTTTCGGGCTGTAGTCGTGCCATGATGCGTTCCACTGATGATGGTTGACATATGTTGATGTAACTCTTTGAATGTTGACTCCGATTGGTTCCATTGGAGGGCTACTGTTTTGGAGGGATAACATTCCAACTATATAATCAATCAAAGTCATAATTTGTGTAGACTTAACACTACTGATATGATTTACCCATCATGCAATGATGTTTTATGGTAAGATGAATATATAGGTCTGGTAAGTTTTGATTGCCAGCATTGTCACATATTGTCAGTATAGTTGCCAAAGGTTCTTATACAGTCATATAGCGATTCTATGTGATTTTTATATAGTTGCCAAAGGATTTTATATCTTATATAGTCACTAGATCACTATAGTTGCTCATCATCCCCCAGTTTTTGGGATATGCACAGCAGGTCCCAGCAAAAGATGGTGCTGCGTTTTGAGTAATGTTGCTTGGTTTACAAGTTTACAGGGCAAAAACAGGTCGAATTCTAAAAAAAATACTTTAAACATGATGAAGCCGGAATATATACATGTATCTATAATTATATATATATGCTGTCAAATGTTCGCTGACCATTTCATGCATGTTCATACATGTCACCTTTTGGTCATTCCGGCATGTTTACGTTTCACATTGCAGCAGCAGTGGTGGGTTCGAGACCTCGAGGGAAAACAGCTGTTTCGAGCCAAATCGCGTTGCGCCTCCTTTACCCCGGCTTGGAGCCGTATCCATCTGGTCCTGGAACTTAGTGTGTCCACGGGAATCCTGAAGTTGGCGGCGGAGCTTGTGGTGTGACCCTGGGCAGGTCCTGGAGCTTCAACTACAGACTGAAATTTGGTCCTGAGCAGGCCTGTGCTGAGTCTTGACCTTGAGCAGGTCCAAGAACTTCGTCTACAGACCCTGAGCAGGTCCTCCTACTGCGTTGCTCTACCTTTTGCAAGTGCTGATCCTGAGCAGGTCCTTATAACATCTGATTTCTTGGTCTTGTGCAGGCCAGAGCTGATCTGATGGCAACTGGATCGGGTGCGAGCACTACATATGCTGGTAAAGCTCATGAACATATCCCTGAGTTTTCTGGAAAAGCTAGTGACTACAAGGAGTACAGAAAACGCCTCCTGTTGTATGACAAGAAGATGAAACTGGCGAACAGGGGTGGCGAGACTTCCTTCAATGTCCTTAGCTCACTCAAAGGACGAGCTTGGGATGCCTGTGAAGATATCAGCATGCAAGAGCTTGAGGGCGACGGTGGTATGAAGTTGGTTTTGGAGCGACTGGATCGAGTGTTCAAATTTGATGCCATTACTGAACTACCTGCAGACTTTGAGACGTTCTTCATTGGTCTTTCGAGACGCAAGTCCCAGAACATCCAAGAATATTCTGCAGAATTTGAACGAGCGTTGCGAAAGTTGCAACAACACCAAGTTCAACTACCTGACAAAGTTGTCGGATGGTGGTATCTGAGGAGAGCCGGACTTAGCAAAGAACAGAGACAAATGATCATGACCACTATGGATGGTGAAAAGCTTTCTTTGGAGACTGTCCGCAAAGGTGTGAACTTCGTCATCGGTCAAGACACAGTTCCTGATGCACATTCTTCCAATGCAGGACGATGGAATCGCAATGGCAAAGACTCCATCTACTATGAGGACGATGCTGAATACTATGATGATTGGGAAGAATGGGAACATGATGAAGATGATATCCAATGGGCAGATGAGGGTGCTTCATACTATGAGGATGATGAATGTGAAGAGACATATGCAGCCCATGAGGATGCAGCGACCGAGTACGATGAGGTGTTGGCAAACTATGTCGAAGCAAAGCAGAAACTGGCACAGCTTCGTGTCTCACGCGGCTTTTTCCCAGTTGTGGCTTTGGCACCAGACGGCCGAGGACATGGTGGAAAAGGATCTTCAAAGGGCAAGCATGTTAAGGGCAAGGGTAAAACCAAGTCCAAACAATTGCCTCGACCTCCTCCACGCCCAAAAGAACGTGGTCAAGCAGCCCTTGGAAGTTCAAAAGTTGGTGCGAGCAAGTGCCTTCGATGTGGACAAGCAGGCCATTGGGCACGAGACTGTCCGACGGCTGGAGCAGGAAAACGCAAAGCAGAGACTGAGGCAGGTGATGCTATGATGGTAACATTTGCAGAATCCACACTGAAGCTTGACGAGAGCTCAGATGCAGCGATGTTGGATTGTGGTGCAGCTTCTGTGATTGCATCAAAGTTTCAACTCAGAAAGTATGTCAACTTTCTCAAAGCAGTTGGTTTCAAAGTGGATGCAATCCCTGTCTGGCGTTGCAGCAAAGGTTTTCGGTTTGGAAATGGCAACATGAACACCACGCAATGGTGCACACTCCTCCCCACTTTCTTTGGTGGTGTGCGGCGCGACTTCTTGGCCTATGTCATTGAAGGCGAGGCGCCAATTCTGTTGGGACGGCCCTTGATGGAGGCCATGGACTTAAGTGTCAACTATGCCCAAGGAGAGATCAGGTTTGGAACCGACCCTTGGATCCCAGCAGAGAGAGGTTTGAAGGGTGAGTACATCATTCACCTGGCAGCTGATGTACATGGTTTGCTGGATGTGGAACCCCAGTTTGTCTTCCTCCCTGAGGACTTTGACAGCCATGTGCAACCCGTACAGCACAGCATGGATCAGTTGTTGGACAACGAGGAGATCCTGGCTGTGGAGCCCAATCACGATGCTGACCAAGATCTACAACAAGATCGACAGCAAGTTTCACCGAATTTGATTTTTGCAGAGCACAAGAGCGACAATGATCTCAAAGAACCCCACGATGCAAGTTTCACTTCAACAACCAATGCTGGCGAATGCAATGAGACTCCAATGACAGTGGCAGAACAACCACCTAGGCAAGATGATGTAGCTGAGTTGGACAAGCCCAAGAACGAGCACAAGAGCCTTGACTATGACTTGTGCAGCCTTCCACCGGGCAAACTACGACATCTCATGCACTTGACTGCCAAGGACAAGAAAGAGTTTGATCGAATCTTGTCTTGCGCTTCAACTGGTGGAAATGTTGGAAAGAAGAAGCCTTACGTCATTTGGGAGATTTTTGCAGGTGCTGGCAGAGTGACCAAGACAGCGAACAGACGAAATGGTTGCAAAGCTGAACGTTTTTCCTTAGAAGATGGTTGGGACTTCAACATTGCGAGTCATCGCAAAGCCTTCTTCAAACGCCTGAAACAAGAACAGCCTGACTGTTGCCTGGTCATGCCCCCATGCAAGCTGTGGTCTATGTTGCAAGAGTTGACAGTGGCCAAACACCCAGACTATATGGCCAAGTTGACAGCCCTGCGACAGGAGAACCATGACAACCTCCTGACCTTTGCAGCTTTGGTGTATGAGTACCAGCGGAGACATGGAAAGCTTGGAGTTGCAGAACATCCACGAAAGTCACGTGCATGGAGCACGAAAGCCTTCAAGAAGATGCAAGGATTTGACACACATGTGGATCAATGTTGCTATGGTCTTCAACTTCCAGATGACTCCGGTGTGGTCAACCCAGTGCAGAAACCAACTTGTTTTAGAGCGACAGGAAAGATGTTTCATGACCTTCTTCAGTGCCAATGCGATGGACAACATCGACACACCAGACTTGAAGGTTCAATCCCTGGAGTCGGACTTCGGTCCAAACTGGCTGAGGACTTTCCTCAAGAGCTTGCGACGGCCATTGTGGATGCGATCTGCGCCCAATTGGACTATGACACTGCCGAGATCTATGCCAACGATGCAGGTGATGTTGCACTGAGCCCTGCTGAAGAGTTTGCAGAGATGGTTGAGCAACATCAACGGGAACAATCACAACAAGAACAAGATGTTGAGGTTGAGCAGACTGAGCAGAATGACCCAGTTGCGCTCAACAAAGCCCTGCGGAAAAGAGTTGGTGGAAGAGCAGTAGACTATGTCCAGCGCCTCCACAAGAACCTTGGCCATCCTTCTCATGGCGTGCTGGAAAAGATGCTTGCGGAAGTTCAGGCTACCTCCAATGTGCTTGAAGCTGCAAGAGACTATGTATGTCCAGCGTGCTATGCCAGAAAGCCCCCTTTCCAAAATCCTCCTGCTTCAAGCCTGAAATGCACAGAGTTCAATGACCGCATTTTGGTCGATTCTCACTGGATTCAATGCGAGGACAGCATCATCAAACGTGCTGAACCTGCACCTGGAACTCCTGCGCACAAGCGAAGGGAGAAGAACAAAGCTGAGAAAGCCTTCTCTGGTCGTCAATGTGTTCTCACCATCATTGACCATGCAACCAGGTTTTGCTCAGTGAGAATTCTCAAGTCAGAACGTGCAGATGAGTTTACAAAAGGTTTGGAGAGAGCATGGATCAAGCACTTTGGTTTGCCTCGTTTGCTGAGGATCGACGAAGCCAAAGGATGGGCCTCAAAACACGTGCGTGAGTGGGCTTCCAGAGGAATAGAACTAGAAGTTCAACCTGCGGAGAATCACTCCTGGCTCTCAGTTGTTGAGAGGAAACACCAAGTTGTTCGACGAGCACTTGAGCTCTACCAGGACGACATCGGCAGACACGATGTTGCAGCTTTGAAAGAAGCATGCATCTACGTGCCTCACTCCATCAACCAGCTGAGCTTCCACCGTGGTTTCTCACTGCAACAATGGGTGCTGGGCAAAGCCATGAACTATACCCATGGTTTAAGTGGCGAAATCTTCAATCCTGGTCAAGAAGCGTTGGATGACCAAGGAGCCTTTGCAAATGTGCAGCAGAAGCGAGTGAATGCAGCACAAGCTTTCATTCGAGCTGACTCTGATGCAAAACTTCGCCGAGCCTTTACCCAGAAGTTTGTGGAGAACCGAGATGAAGTGGTGGTAGGCCAGAGGTGTTGGTACTGGCGTGATGCTGGTGCTGGCATTTTGAGAAAAGCAAGATGGAGAGGTCCCGCACGAGTTGTAGCAGTAGAACCTGTGGGAGATTCAAAGTTTTGTGGTTGTGCCATGGAACTTCGTTGGTGCGTTGTGGACCACGACAAGTTCGACCAGTTGTTGAAGAAACAGGTGTTGCAGTTCCTGCTGACCGAGCAGCAGCCATGCGTGACCTTGAAGAGCTGAAAGCAAGGTCAACAACCCAGTTCAAGGATGCCTTGAAACGAGCTGGTGGCAACCCTGACGTTGATGAGCTGATGGGAGATGAGAACGAGATTGAGGCGGAGTATGAACCGTCCATCTACCAAGGTGATCTGCAGCATGATGCGGAGACTTCAGATGAGTCACCACAAGGCTCACGACCTGGAGTTGTTCAGATGTTTTTCCCACAGCCTCCTCAACAGCAACAACATGATGATGGTTCAGAACGTAGCCGTGAAAGATCTCCAAGACGACGTCTAGCGTCTGATGCATCTACAACTTTGCCTATGGTTTTGGAACGACCAGCAGCTGAAGAACGAGTTGTCAGCAGTTCACCAAAACGCAAAGAGCATGCAGCACTTCCTGAAGAAGAAAGTCACAAGAAACCTAGAGGTGATGTGGCCAGATCTTCGACTTCAACCCCAGCCGAGATTGCCGACGCAGCAGCAAATCAAGCAGCTGTCGAGACACCTGTCCCTACAGCAGATGATGATTTGGTGATTGACGTCATGATGGTTGATGACGGCGGCGACTTGCCTGATGGTTGGAAATGTGTTGATGGTGCGTTGGAAATGGATGACAACTACATGGTGCAGTTGCGCAAAGGTGAGGTCAACATGAAACTTCTCTCACCTGAAGGAAGAACCGATTTTGTGAATGCAAAACGGAAAGAGTTGGAAAACTACTTTGCAAATTTTGTTTGGGAGTTTGCAAGTGACAAGGAGAAGAAAGATGCAGAGAAAGATCAACGTGTGATCACCGCGCGTTGGGTGCTGACATGGAAATGCGAGGATGAGAACGCAGAGGTGCCCAAATGGAAAGCAAAGGCAAGACTTGTCTTACGTGGCTATGAGGATCCTGATGTGATGACGCTTAACAAAGCTTCACCGACGGCATCAAGACAGGCAAGGCTATGGTTGTTAACTTTGACAAAGCGGAACAGCTGGCAATTGATCTGTGCCGACGTGAAAGCAGCTTTTCTGTCAGGGAGCAACTTTGACAGAGTCATCATTGTCCGTCTTCCTGCTGACTGTGGCCCCTTACTTGGTGTGAACCTGGAAGGAATCTCAAAGCATGTCTTCATGAGGCTGAAGAAAAGTGCATACGGTCTTTCCGATGCCCCCTTGCTTTGGTATCAAGAGGCCAGCAGACGACTGACAGAGATGGGATGGATCAAACACCCCATGGATCAATGTTGTTTCATGTTGGTGGCAAACGACAAGCACTCGAGCCATGGAAGTTTGCGTGGAATGATGATTTTACATGTTGATGATGTTTTGGTAACTGGATGCCCTACAGACAAAGTTTTTCGGGACGCAGTCAAAAGCCTGCGGAAGCAATTCAACTTTGGCAAATGGGATGTTTTGACCCCAACACATTCCTTGAAATACTGTGGCGGCACCATTGTCCAGAATGAGCATGGAATTGAGGTTTCCTATGCTGAGTACATGAAGCGCATTAGCCCTGTGACCATACAGAAAGGCAGAAAAGATGACCAACCAATCACTGAACATGAGAAGAGCAAAGCGCGTGGCCTGATCGGTGCACTACAGTGGCCAGCAACCCAAGGCTTACCGATGTTGGCGGCTTCAATGTCAATTCAAGCTGGAGAACTGGCACGTGCAAAGATCAAGGAGCTGACAGAGCTCAACAAAACCTTACGTTTTGGAAAAGCCCATGCAGATGTCAATTTGAAGTTTTTGGCAACAAGCACTTCACAGTCTTTTGGTTTGGATGGTTTGACAATTGTTTGCTACGCAGACGCAGCTTTCTGTGTGCGAAGTGACAAGACTTCACAAAGTGGTTATGTGCTGATGGCGTGTGATGCTTCTGTTTTGAAAGGCAAGAAAGTTCCTGCTTCCATTGTTGGCTGGCGATCATTCAAATTACCCAGAGTATGCCGTTCCTCACTGGCGGCAGAATGTCAAGCATGTTCTACAGCGTTGGAAGAACTGATGATGGCAAAACTGTTTTTACAACTTTTGAAGAATCCCTGCAGCAGTTTGCGTGAAGCCCGTGATCAACTTCATGGAGATGAATGCGCAATGGTGACAGACTGCAAAGGATTGTTTGATGCTGTAAAGCGCGAGACGGTGCAGCAAGCAACCGACAAGCGTGTGGCCATCGAAGGACTTTTGATCAAAGACATGTTGCGTGATTTGAACTGCCAATGGAGATGGGTGAGCAGCGAGCGTCAACTCGCAGACGGTTTGACAAAGGTTGGTGCAAGAGTAGCTTTTGTCGAGCGTTTCCGAGGAGCTCACATTCAACTTGTGGCAGATGAAAGCTATCAAGCAAGCAAGAAAAAGACCAAAGCCGATAGGGAAAGAACAGTTCAAGAAACCCATGGATCTACATCCCGAACTGCAAGAGCGCTGATTGCAATGGTGATTGCTGAACAGTTTCAAGTGTCCGAGCAGACTGGTTTGATCGTGCAAGGAGCTGAACATGCGAGCGTGGCGACTGAGTATGACATGAAGTTCATTTGTGCGCTGGCGCTAGCACTGTTCTTGGTGTTCCTGACCTTCATTTGGTTTGCATGCCCTGGCATTTGTTCTCGGAGGACAAGGTCAACTGAAGGGCCGGATTTGCATGAACTGTGTTTGTCTTTAGACACAGTAATTTCCGAGCGTGATGAGCTCAGAGACTTTTGCAAAGTACTCAAAGATGAGCTGGCAGAGCTGAAAGCTCAACGCCATAGGGATGAACAGGTTATGGGTAGGAATGCATGTGAGTTGGACGATCTGAGAGAAACCAGAAAGGATCTCCGACTTACAGTAGGATCTCTGAAGAAACGATGTGAAGATTTCACCTTGGAGCTGCAAGCGGCCAGAGCTGCAGCTGTAGCAAATGTTTTCATTTGCCCCCGAGGGCGTGTGTGGCACAAGTGGAAGGAGTGTCCAATGCTTGGACAATCAGAACCATTAGAGTATGAACTATGCATGCGGTGTGCACAAACACACCTTCCACCGATGTCAAATGTTCGCTGACCATTTCATGCATGTTCATACATATCACCTTTTGGTCATTCCGGCATGTTTACGTTTCACATTGCAGCAGCAGTGGTGGGTTCGAGATCTCGAGGGAAAACAGCTGTTTCGAGCCAAATCGCGTTGCGCCTCCTTTACCCCGGCTTGGAGCCGTATCCATCTGGTCCTGGAACTTAGTGTGTCCACGGGAATCCTGAAGTATGCGTTTTCAATAGACCAACGAAGGCAACTAGGGGGCAGCACCTTACAACATGGGTTATCCCCACTTACCAACCGTCAAAAAAATACCGGGCGGGTTGAATGGTTGAATCCCCATGGTCGAATGCTCCAGTGGAGTTGATAAACCAATCTATAGTAACCATTAGTTATTAACCATTAGTTACCCTCTGGTAAACTAACATAGCTATTGAACATGACCATTAATAGTGGATGTCCCCATTAGAAATGGTGATTTTCAATAGCTATGTTAAATTACCATTAGTTATTAACCATTAATACTAATAGATAGTTATTGACCATAGATATAGATATGGTTATGACTAACATAGCTATGGAAGCCATGGCCCATCGAAAGTTCGATGATTTTCCCAGCTATAAATGCTATAAACCTCCATTTATGGTTGGGATTTTCCATGGCAAACTGTTAGTCATAAGCAGATGGTATATTTACCATGGACTCTAATTCGCTACAAAGAATTATAAAGCTGGTGCCCCAGTTCGTTGATTTTCTTGCTTTCCAATTTAGAACATGATTTTGTTCACCAACGTTCGCCAACTGTGGCACCACTGCGACCAGAGATTTTTTGAGGCGCTCCAGGATGGAGAACTGAGCGGCGCTCAAAGGTGGGGTGGACCTTTTCGGTGACCTTGCGTTTTGGGGAAAGATATGGGAAAGTGCAGACCGAGTGGGAAAGATAGAAATATCAATCTTATATGGTATTGTACTGATTTAACCTATGACTATCGTATGATGGTTAAACACATGAGAACAGATCTACTATATATATATACCCTCTGGTTATGACTAACATAGCCATGGTATAGATGGCCCATAGAAATAGATGGTTTACCTATTAATAGCATGGTGATTTTCCATGGCTATGTTAAATAACCAGATGGTATCAACTTGAGTTTTTATGAGGGTCTTATATGGTCTGTTGATATTCTAGTCTGTTTTCCCTGATTTTCCCATGCTTCGTCATGGGGTTTGATGGTACTTGAATTCCAGAACCAGCAGCTCGACCCGGTGAAGTATGTCTTTCAACAGCCTATGGCAGGGTCGTGATGTTCATTTCTGGGAATCTAGTGACATTCTGGCACGACGAAAAATAGATTTATACTGCAAAAATGATGATTTATCCTGAACAAATGATGATTTATCTCCAGGAGAATGTTTTTTTTTGCAGTAAACCATTGAATTTCTGGTGTTTAGCAGTAAATCCTGGTGATTTGGAGTTCAATGACTTACTTTCTGCCATAGGTAACTGGGAGTATGATATCAGGAGTGGTCAGTTTCTATAGCTTAATGAGATTCAGTGAATTTTGCAGGGAGCCCATCAAAGAATACATTCACTGGTATGAGTCAACCCAATCGCCGGGTACACCACGTTGGTCCTTGATATTTTCTCAACTTTGGTAATTACCCTCTTGTAAATTAACATAGACCCTAAGAATCGCCAATTTTTAATGGAAACTAATCTTCCAACTCCTATTTGGCAGGGTTTATATGAATTTACTGGAGGGTAAGTTTATTACAAGTGGCCTTTTTCCCCAGCAACTGGGGGACCGTTCATACATGATCCAGGTCTGGGAGAATGTTTCACCTGCTGCAGGTTGGTCCAAAAGAAATGACGAGCCCATGGGGGCCATGTTGGGGAGCCCAAGCGGGAGGACTCTTCGAATCAACCGCCATTGCTTGGACTTTTTTCCGCAAAGGAGATATGAAGAGTCTTCCCGTTGTGGGATTTGTACACAGATTTGTAGCCATGGATACAGGGCCACGGAGACATAAACCCACTGAATCCCATGATTTCAAGAGGCGCCTGGAATCCATGGCCCTGTTTGAATTCAGGGCTGTGAGCCCACGACTTGTGTGCAGCCCTTACTTTGAAGGGTAGTACAGTAGCACATGGTCCCGTGGAACCATCAAACTCAACGGAGAACGGGAGATGTTGGATGATCCTTTTTCGAAAATCCTGTTACAATGTGAGGCCCCAGTTGTAAGTTGGTTTAGATTCACCCCATGAATACTATAGTTATTTGCGTACCATAAACCATAGTGAAATTGGAGTTATTGGCACCAACTGAACGCTATTGACTGGAGGCCCCACATTGGAGTTATGATCGGAAAAGCATGAAGATTTCAGCAGCTAATGTTTTTGGCTGTTTCAGTCGAGAAGTGTTTCAAATATAGAGCAAACACAACAAGGAGTATTTGGCTCAAATCACAATCAAATACCGATTACTTCCTTTGGATACACAATCATCTTTGTTAAGGCGTGTGGTAGTAATTCTATATCATTGTTCACACCTGCCTTTCCTAGGGACCTTTCCATGTCCCCGCCGTTTTCTTGCCACGGGGGACGGCGTGCCGAAAGATACGGGATTTTCAGCCGACCTGGACGCGTGGAAAATGCTGGAGATCCCCTAAGTCCAAGACAGAAGATGCTACCCAGAACAGTGGAAGACGACATGCTCTGTCTCTTGCGAGTCTTTTGGGAGTCTTTTGGGAGTTTACTATAAAAGTGGAGATAGGTATTTCTGTCAGTATACCCGGAGTGCATGCAACTATGGAACATGTTGCTATACACTCCAGCAATAAAGGCCAACCTTTATAATCATACATATTTGAAGTAAACATCCATTGATTCAACTTTGAGTCTGTGTATTATTTTCAGATCTGATTCGTTATCTATGTTATTGATTGTTATTGTGCCTATGCGCGACAAAAAGAAAAGGCGACAGGCTCGGAACTTCACGGCCATCGCCTGTGGACCTGAAAAATGTGGTCATCAAGCTGGCAACAATACATTCAGCTGATTTATGCAGGTATAATCATGTATACACTAATAGCATGATATATATATATATATACAATGTAGGTAGGTAATGATAAATGTATAGTTCACACATAATCATGATTCTTACACAGCTGTTCCAACGTGTTTGCGCATCCAATGTCCAGTGAAGCTTCGGCTCCGATGTACAGTGAAACCGTGGCTGTTTCCGTCCACTGAGTGCCTTGAGGCCTGACTGACTTTCCAATTTTTCTGTCAGAGTAGAATTGATATTTCAATGTCCATGATGGTCCATTATCTGGAATAGAGGATATTTCTGGAATTGAGATTTTCAATCTTTGTCCATTTGTAGATGGACTTCTCAGATAATGTGAGAGTAGGTGAGATTATATGGGGTTACTGCATATGGGATTCTAATGGGATCTAAGCCGGTTTGTTGAATGGCTACAATTCAACAAACTGCTTGTTTATTCGTAATTATGTGGGATACAGCCAAGAAGCACGTTGAAATGCGTGGTGACAATCAAGTCAAACATCAGAAAATTGCTTCACAACGGCCCATGTTTACGATGGTTTTTGTGGGGCAAATTCGATGGATTGATATGACATTTGCTGTTAACAAGGGAAATATCTCTAGTTGGGATATGTTAGGATAGCCCAGAATGAGATAGTGACAATGATTGTGAAATAATAGTTGGGATAGCCATTGAATCATTGAATCATAGTTGGGACAACTCCAATTTATTGCCATGCAATAAATTCTACGTCCCATCAGATGAAACCTGAAAAAGCACCTGCAGCAATAGCTGGGCTTGTCACTGTGTCTCAGGAGGGGCAGTGGATACCCCAAAACTGTCGCGGATTGTCTTCGTGACAGCAACTTAAAGCCATTTGAGCGGCGCGTTGCTGATAGGATCAATGTGTTAATCAGCAATGCGAATTTACCTTATGGGCCGTTACAACTTCGACGCCTTGAATTCGTTGCGAGTGAAGCAATGGATGGGTTCTGGAAGTCTGAGTGTGATGGATGACACAATTCTGCTATGTTCATCGATTTTCGCTGCTCCCTCAGATGTGTGAATCATAAATGGCTGCAGTTAGACATTGTTTTCCAACCCTGCCCATGCTTTCAGATCTAAAGTCAGAGGGGTTACGTTTGGGTACTCCGAAATCCCATGGTTTCGTTTGGTCATGTTCCAACTCCACAAGGTTGGCACCTCGGAACCCAAACAACCGCAGTCGGTTCGTTGTGATTCATAGTTTGGTGGAACCCAGCTGAAAATCCAGTGTTGATTGCAGGGTAATGTACCCAGATAACCGCATTTTCATGTATTTTCATCATATTGGTATAGAAATCCATGCACATTTCGTTCGGAAAATGATCTATATGTAATTTCTGGTGGATGGCCCATGTGTGAATTTACTGGAGGGTAACTCCCCGTACTGGAGATTAAATCTCGAGTAAATGTAGTGTTTGAATGTTTTTGATGGTTATCTCCAAATTTGGATCGCTGAAATCCCATTGAAAATCACATGACGCAGTGGGATAGCCATTCCAGAACTGTCCGTTGTACAGATGTTCCCCCGCTGCGGGGATCTGAGGCCAACTAGCCAAGGGCCCCTGACCCTGCATGGCCCAGATCCGGGGATAAGATTTGTGCCGCTGTGCCTCGTGGAGATTGGACCTCCACTGTGATATGAGAAAGACCAGCTGACCAGCTTTCAGCGAGGCCGCAACGAGGTCCGCAAAAAGGAGAGACAGCTGCAGGGAGCATTTGCACCGAGGAATTTCCGGATCAGAAACTTCCGAGTCGAATCCATCAATCTCCATTTTTCATGGTTAAATACCATTTTCCTTCCACAGTTGTAGCCCTCAACAGTTGTAAATGGGATTATAACACCTGCAACTAACTATAAGCTTATATATAATCTTAATTATATATATCACTTAAATATCTTAAATGGGGTTATAAGTTGGCCAGT